TTTTGTTCTGAATTTATGCTCTAGATTATTTTTTATTCCTTCACGCGAAAGACTGCTTCTTTTCTTCGACCTCTTCCCGTCCAACCCTCTCTTCACTCCTTTATGTTCGCCAACGAGTTATTATCGTGAGCTGTTTTATAAAAGCTCGGTTTGAATAGGATGAAAAAAGGATGAGACGCATGAAGTTCTTGCACGCTGAAGTATGGCCGTTTATTTAGTCTTGAGATTTTAATTCTGTTTCATTGCTATGTGAATAAGTTTTTGTACGAAACGAGGAACAAAAGAACGAGACAGGTAGTTGTGATTGTTTTGAAGAATAACGATTGGTATGAATACAAGCTTTAATGGAATTTATATTATCCTATTCGTTAACAATGAGATACGTGTAGGGGATGTTAAAAATATATGAAATAAGAGTGATGCAAATGTGAAAAATATATGCAGATGTAACGAAAAATTATATTTCACTAGCTTAAATTTTATAAAATACACGGAATTGCATTTTTTCGATTATGTTAGAGTGTACAGTTTAAAGTCGAAACGTGACTTCGATTTTTTCATGCTTAACACCGGAAAAAAATATTTTTGAAGCAACAGATTCGCTTAAAATGAACTAGAAAAATTATAAATATATTAGGCCAAATATAAAATGAAACATTCATTGAGAGTTTGTAAATGTTGACAGCAACATTTTTTGGAGTAACAATTTACGGTAAAATTGCACGAATTTCTCTGTTTATGGTTAGTGTATTTGTCACAGATGGTCGTCGCGATATCCCATTTCGCAAGAAGCGTTTTCCTCGGCGTTTCCTGTCGGTCAATCTAGAATCGTGTTACGAAGAGTACAGATAACGGCCCCGCACGATTCGTTCGCGACTATTAATTTGGTATAAGGCCGGATGCGCCGAAAACGGAAGCCACGCGCGTCACGTAGCGATCGCAGGAGCCGCCAAGATGGCGTCTGCGGAAATCAAACTTAGAACGGAGGTTTTCTGACCGACACTTCGTGTCTATTCCCTCTAACGCAATACTTATCAACTGGAAAATTCTCTGTCATCATTAAATTACAGATTTCAATCGCTAAAAAATTAAATTGTATATTTAAATAACAAACAAACAAATTAACAGTACTTTAGCAAAGAAAGTACGCAACGTACCTTCATATAAGTTCATATTATTATAAAAAGGTTTAAAACAACAAAAATTCTTCATGACTTGATAAAAATAATATTAAAATATAATAATACGTTAAAATCGTTTGTTTACTATATTTAGCAAAGGGAAATATGTTAACAATTTATAAACACTTAACGCCCTATCAATAAACAAGTAGGAGTCTCGAATAATTCGAGAAACAGAGACGTTTATTTGAATTAGAAACTTAGGACGCTCAAGTTTGGCTATTTCGCTGGTCATAAAACATTTCTCCGTCTTTGTAGCGTTTTTTGGATGAAAAAAAGAACCGTTCCAACTCCAGTGGACACAGGAAATGTACTCATCGGCACAATCCTCGAATGGAAACCACGTGTTGCGAACGCGGAAACGAACCCTTCGACTACAAGTCTTCTTCTATTCTTAACGACGCGTTTATTTGTCCGCGGTTTTCACGGAAAACTGTGGACGAACAGAAACAGAGGGAGAAAATGAAAGTTTACCCCGTTCCCGGTTATTTTCGGACCCTCGTACCCCGAGGAGATCGTGAACCTTTCCGCTGTTCCATAATTTCGATCTCGATACATCTGTTTCGAATTTGTTCGAAAATGCATTGAGTTACATTGACAGAAAGAAGAAATAAGAAAATATTCTTAAGACCACGTGAAATCGAAATGTTGTGCAATAAATATTATTTACAGCAGAAGTGTCAGATCAACACGTTGTTTATTGCAGATGCAATGAAAATGCATAATAAAATTATATAGTTCTTCTATGTTTGTATGAATATATGCGGTTTGGTTGTTTTTCTCTTGCTGAATAATTGCGTAATAAGGTATGAAACCAATCAAGAGAAATCATTACAAAACTATTCAAGAACTTGAATGAACGGTACGTAACAGGTAGTACCTTCATTAGACGATACTCGAACTGGTATGAGATAATGAAAGTGACATTATATGGCAGAAGTTTCTTTTATTATACAGGTGTGTGAATATTCATAGATTAATGTGTGTATCTCAGTTGCTGAATGCAATAAATTGGTAGATGCTGCAAACATCAAAATACTATAGCATTGCAAGCATCATTAACTCCTTCCCTTATGATTAATTTCTCAACTATGATCGATACAATTACTTTGCCATTAATAATACATCAAGAAAAGAGAAAAATTCTAGGCATATTCCATGTCTATGTTCGCTCTAAAGTATAATTATTGATAACAGAAGAGTAATGTTTAATTTGAATTCAGCACAATTGAGTAATACCTATCTTTGTTAAATTTCCATTCAAACCTTCATCACGGGTCTAGTGTTATTGTAAGGCAACGGGTTAAACATCGTAGACATGACAGACATAATAAATATCACACAGAAAATGCACGAACACACGATAAATCACAACGAAAGTAAACTGATGCATGGAACGCTTGAAGGAGCAACTTTTTTCAAAAGATAATTTAACATTGGGAACGTCTTGAATGGCGAAGTCGATAATGAGGGGAGTTCATTAAAGTGAAAAAGGAAGAATGTGACTCTTTCCGGTTATTTTCGGTCGGAGGGATCGCGAACCTCGTTGAACACAGCCGGCCAGTCGCTAGATATCGATATCGCTGACACAAAAGCTCCGTTGTCCAAGAATGCACACGGTTATGGAAAACGAGCGATCCTATTAATTCCTCCATTGTGCTCACGATAAACTTAAAATAAAACTCGTGTTTTGTCCAGACGTTTCAGCTAAAAGTTCGTTTCAAATTTTTTTTTTGGCGACGTTCGTCTCGATGTAACCAGAAAAGATAATTTTTTTTAATAGCAGTTGATTCTTTTGTCTTCTGAATAAATTCTCCATTATTAAACTACGAGCATTTATAGCTTCACAGTTTTAGATTACAATTTATTAAGAAGACAATTATTTATCTTCCTCGGCCAACAAAATAATATTCAAACGTATATTCATTAAAAAAGATAAAATAGAATACAAAAGAAATATATTAGATACTTCAAAAATGGTACTTCAAAACATAAAAACGAGACATTTTATAAATAATTGGTACAACAAAGGAAGCAAAAGTTGTTTCTTAATAATTGATCAGAACATGGATGAATCAGAACATTCGAAGCAAAGGTTTATGAAGGGATGAATTAAATATTCTATTAACACTAGAACAACCGAGCGTTTAATCTGGTTAATGTGTAATTCTCATAAAAATTGTAACAATAGATTGTTTTCGATTTCTTTGCAAATTCAGTCTAGTATTCAAAAGAAACTGTTTATTTTTAAAATCATTTCGAGTGTTTAACACTGTCAATAATTGCGAAATAAGAAAACTGAAACCCGTCGACTTGACGGGTGCAGTTGTCCTAGTGTTAGGAAAAGGGTAAAAAGGTACTAGTTTTCGAAAGCAGACTACATGGTTTAAACTGTGTCGCGGAAGGAATGCGCCCGCGTAGTTACGAGGTTTTCGCGATGCCACATTCTCGAATAACGAGGAACAAACGCATTAAAAGACCATTATTTTATTAGTCCCGGCGGGTAGAGGGCACGGTCGCGTGTCTCGTGTCGCATTAAATGAAATTGAACGCTTCTCTCCCCTCACAGGGGAAACTAAAGCAAGGTGTGTCTTGCCGGTAATACGATAATAGCTCGCGGAATTTAAGCGTGGTGCATTAATTAAAACCTCCTGGCCCTCCGTTAACTAAATAGAAACGGCATCGATCCGTTCGCCATCGATGCGCACCACCATTGATCCGGATGCGAATTACCAGCACCGCCAATTATTTTTTAAATTAAATATTCGAGGCAGCCAAAACCCTCATTCTTTGAAAACTACATTTTCCAAGCCAATTAAGCATTTTGGAGTAATATTAACACGTCCCGTGCCAGACCGTTTTTTGAAGACATTCCGTTCAGGCCGCGTGGGGCGTATACGCCCCACGCTTTACAATTGTATTGTTTTGTTTCTGGAGTATGCCTTACAATGATTAAAATAATGCAAAACTCGTAACTGTCAAGAAAAGGGTGTATAGTTTAAGACGCATAACACAACAAAGCAATAAATTAATTTTTTTAGAAATTAGTTTAACAAATACCTGGCTGAACATTACTCTACCGAGCGAGTCGCAACCTCGCACATAATATTTTTTTATGATGTCTATATTAGTTTGAAATAAAACATTTTAGTTAAAATATATTTAATATTATATTTATGTGACAAGTTTGTATGTAATCAGGAAGGGATACTATGGTGAACTTCGTTAAAACATGGCAAACATATATGTAGTTTATCTACACAATTATTACAGAATGTTGCAACTTTTACAGTACAGTTTCTTGCCGATTGGGAACCACATTTTTTAACGTTAAAACAAATCGCAGTAAAAAAAAGTGACTACCACGCCGTGTAGGGCGTATATGCCCCACGATCAAATAAACACCGCGACAATAGTATTAAGATGCCCATAATTGACTGCATAATACATTTTTAATAAATTCTTCATCTTACAATGACAATACCCAATGGCTTGAACGGAAAGTTTAGCGTGAGGCGTACACGCCCCACGCGGCACGGGACGTGTTAAATATTAACTTAAAATGTGTGGTAATTTAAGATAACTGTGTTGATAGTGTTATTGAGCAAAATGAGCAATAAACAATTGAACGACAGATCAATAAATATTAAAATTGAAGATTGAGAAATTAAAATGAAATTTTCTCGTCTTATAGTTTTTCTTAAAATCTGCAAAATTTATTAGCTTACTAAATAGTATTGAGAACAGAATGATTGAAGAAACGTTGAAGCAGAATTGGAACATTAATAAAAAGTATTAATTAAACAATCATTTTCTCAGGGTCCCGTTCAGCAACCGGGCTGTCGAAAAGTGACTCTCATCCTGAGGACGACGTGCTCTTCGTGTCCAGCAAGGACAGCGAGATCTCAAGCTTGTGGGTGAACTACCTCACAGCCTGTTTCGAACAGATCAGCAGGCAGCAGGGTCGGCCGCCATTCAAGTAATTATATCTCCATACTGCAACCTTTTAACCTTTTGCGATCCAACGTCGAATCTGACTCGACGTAACATTTTCTTGCAGCAGGTCCAACGTCGAGTGTGGCTTGACATAATTTTTAAATTTATGAATTGTAATTATTTTAATTATTTCTGCACGCCAATTAATTCATTTATACTAAAAGCAATCAATAGAGATCTTTAATTGTTTTTCAGTTTATTTTATACTTCATCCTGTTTATAACTTTATTAAACCTGATACAAAATTCTTAGGTATATAATGAATTGATAAAACTGAAAAATTAATTTAATAAATTACTATCATACAATAGTCTAAAGAACTTCTCCAAATTTCAAATTGAATAAAATGCAATGTTCGCTCAGACTTCTTCCAAAATATACAAGTAAACTCTTTAACCAAATACAATACAGATATCTGTTCGTTGAATCTTCTTCAATATTTCGATCTGATTTGTTCATTATCCATAATTATTATTAATGTCATGATTCCAGAGTACGTCACGTCACCGTCGAAGAAACGATTCCGCCAGGCACCGAGGACAGGATCAGATCAGCGCGTCTGCAGATCGTGGTAGTGTGTCCTGTGCTCCTGGAACGCGTGCAAAGTCGGCCGGAACACGCTACCAGCCTAGCCAAGCACCTAGTCTGCGATAAGGTGCTGGCGATGATGCTAGGTGTCCACGACAGTCATATCAGCGACGCCCACAAGTCAATCCTGGTGTCTTACAACCAGTGGAGGAAATTTTTCGTGAAGGACCAGGATGAGACGTTCGTCGGCGAACTTTTGGGAGCCGCAGTTGGTATCCTTGGTACCACTCCACCACCTGCGCTGAGAAGCGACAAGACTGCCTTCTCGGTTCATCCGAAAAAAGTGAAGCTGGTAAGATGAAAGCGATGTTGAAGGCAATAATGGAAATTAAGGGAATAGAATGACACGTTGTCGAAGAAGAGAATGTCCTTATTAAAATTTATTAACACAATTTATTATCATTAACACGGTATATTATTACTAACCCTCACTGTATGTCAACGTGTGCTCTAAGGTATAACCATTGATAACACAGGAATATTATGTAATTTGCATTCAAACAAATTGAATACTGTTGATGTTTGTTAAATTCTATTTGAAATCTTCACCACGAGTCTAATACGATATTTTAGGGCAGGGGGTTAACACGATTCATTAATAAATTATTTATTAACACGAATTATTTATCAACACTAGGTTTACGGACATTTATTGGACAGTTTATTCTATTGTTCCCAGAAGAATCGATAGTCATTCATTTCGGTGTTGTAAATTAGAGGTTTAAGAATGAACGAATGGAATATATATTCACGTAAACATATCGATCAAACTCGACATAAACATTTACTAAGTAATGCTCATAAAATTCAGTATGTGTGAAATTGAAGCGTTCCGTGAACCTAGTGTTAAAATCAACAGGATCGATCACTGATGTATTAAATAAAATGAGGACTCTTCAATATGCACATCATAGTGGTATAAAAAAGAACTCCAATATAAATATCATAAAATGAAGAAGCTTTCGAGCTACAATGGAATTAAAAGAAAAAAATCTTTCTCAGGGTCACAACAGGATAATCGCGCTGCTGAACGATCCCCTACGACCAGAGGACAACGTCTCGGTGATTGTGGATCGCTGCGGGGAGGCGATCGAGATCGTCCACGTGAAACGGCGAAATCCTTACGCCCTGCAGTTCTCCATTCCCGAAAGATGCTTAGAGGTATCGATGTTAGTTGGCGTAAGGATATCGAAGAACGGTTGTCCTTTGGGAGTGAGGCAGGTGAAGTGCGAGAGTAGGCTCAGAGAACTCGACCAGATACTCAGGGCGCACGACAATCCCCTGGAATTCATGTGTCAGGTAAAGATCGCCTCGATAAGCAGGCAGCTGCACATAAGAGGATTATCCGACTATTCGATCAGTCAAGATTATTTTTACCGATTATTTATGCTCACAGACATTCGGCTTCAATCCTGGTGACCGCGAACAACTGGACAACTGGATGGTCCACGCGTTTCAACGCAACATACCGCCACATTTTAATCTTCTCTCCACGCCCAGTGGAGTGGTGTCTACACAAAAAGTCCACTCGAGTGAGTTTTATTTTAGACGTCGTTTTATTTGATGGAGAGTAGACTGTTGATGCATAAGAGTGTATTGGTTTGGAATGGTAGTTCTAATTCGTGGTATTGTATTTCTGTATGTTGATTGCTGTCGCAGGGAGATTAGCTGGTAAGACAAGTAAAGCAAAGGCTATTAAAACCATCGAAATCCTAAAGTTAGGGCATCAAAAACGTGACTAGATTTAGATACTTCAGTGTATTATCTTCATATACCAGTTTTTACTAGTATACTGAATCTTGTACAGAGATGTATCTAACTATTCTTACAGGCATCAACTTTCGTAAATATATTTCTTTTTGTTAACACTGAAACTACCAAATGAGTCAACATGATCCATTCCTGATATCTTCTTGTTGCAATTATTAACAAGATAATACTTGTTTCTCGGAAAAATGATTAAAGAAATTGATTTAACAATACGAAAACTAAATTGTAAATCAGTTCAAGTCTCAATAAATGCACTCTTGGAGTTTCTATAAAGTAATTTCAAAAAGATAATTTAACTGTGCTCAGTAGTTATACTGCTAAGTATCAATATTTACGACGCAATAGTTCTTTTAACAAAAGTGGACCATTTGTCCCCAATTTACTCTAACATTTTGCCTGATCCAGGTCCCGAAGAGAATCCAACGCTGCTGCACTTCGCCGCCCGCTTTGGGTTGGAGAGACTGGCCTGGCAGCTGTTAGAGTGTCCAGGTGGCGACATAGCCTGCGACCTGAGGAATGTGTCGGAGCTAACACCGGCCGATCTCGCGGAACAAGCTGGACACGCGAGACTGGCGCACCAGCTTCGTGGCTACATGGTACAAAAACATCGCCTTTAAAGCGAAGGTCACAGTTAGTCCAATGGAACCGGTACTTCCGCGATATTTCTCTACTCCTAATAGCCACCATGTCGCTTCGATTTGCGCTTCATTCGCCAAACAACTCAAAACAGCATTCTACTCCATGTTCAGTTCGTAATGATAATAATTAAATTTTACGCGTGTTCGCTCAGTGATAACTTTCCGCACATCTTGCACCTCAAAGGAGCCACCCAGTCTCTGTTGAAGGGACCTGCAGCTTTAGCTGATGATTGAATTGAGTTTCTTGTTTCGCAACTTGACTAACTCCTTGAAAAGATGTTCTCACACGTCTATGTGCAGAGATGCGCGCTAGGAGTTCGGTATTCACCGAACTAACTGGTGTTTTGCTTTTGTGTTGCATGTTTCGGGGTCTGCGTCGAATCGCAGCAAATGAACGAGTTCACCAACATGTACAGCTACCTGAAGGTGATTAGCGAGACGACGACGGACCAAGCGGCAAGTGAGTATCCTTCTCTTTTAGTTTATTGTCCATAGAAAGAATAAAGTGTAATTACTTTAAATCTACTTCGAATTAATACTGGAACTATCGAATGAATCAAAATGACTCATTCCTGATTTCTTATACAATTACTGACGAGATACTAAAAGTTCTTTGGGAAAGTATTAAAGAAGCTGATTCAGTAATGCCTGAAGTGAAGTATGAGTAAATTGAAATCTTAATAAATGCATGTTTCTGTAAGAAAAATTTAAAAAATTCAGTTTATGTCTTCGGTAATTCTAGTGTTAAAGTATTCGTATTTAGAATGGCAGGATAAACAAGCAGATATAAATGCTAATTTTTATAGACAAATTTCAATATACTACGGTCGGGATTATAAATGATAATAATAATTATAGGCACAGACCAATCATCGACTAACACGAGCAACGAAGCCAGCAACGATAAGGAAGATTACTGTCGTCCACGACCACTGAGTGAAGCTTATTCAGTTCCACCAGCAGCAAGACCGATAACATCTCTAATCTTACCAGGCCAATTATCAGTCACCCCTAGCCTGACCACCAGCAACCCTATTGAAGCAAATTACTCGATCGTACCGGCACCGACGCCGGTCGTCGCCAGTCCATCGACACCGACCGCTCCAGCGACCACGCCGAACGGCCTTGAGCTGCCTCTTCAAGGCTACATGAAAATGCATCCAGCTGGTAGGTCATTTACCAATAAATATATTTTGCATTATACTTCTTTATACTATTATTTTCAATGATACTTGAAACATCTCGAGATCAATGCTTTACATCATTACCAGGATGAAGGTTGTTTTAATGTTCACCTAATCTTAGACTTAACTATTTTCTATGGCAACTTTCGTATCAATGATATCAGCAATCATTTTAACACTACAAATAGCGAGTAGTCACGGTGACTTTACTAAATTTTTCGATACGGACTCGTCTATAGAAACTATTCTATTCTAGTTATCTAGAAGACTTTATACAGATTCCGAGTGACAATTCAGTTTGCCTATTCTTAAGTCAATTTCTTTAGTAATTTCTCAGAGAAACATTTGTTATGTTTCTGATAATTCTAAAAGAAGAATTCTGGAATGAGTCATTTTGACCTATTCGCTAATTCTAATATTAAAACACCGTAATATAATAAAAAAAAAATTAGTTCTTAAACGAAACTTCGATTTTTTAAGGACCCAAAACGCCTACGTCCAACGTGACCAGTCAACAACCGTCCAGGACAGCGACGCCCACGCAGAACCGTCACGACTGTCACCCGAGTCCTCGCGAGGAGAATAGCCAGTCTTCCTGTTCCTACGGCAGGACCACGTCTAGCTCGAGCACCAAGTCGAGAGAGCCATCCGGGCCACAGGACGAGCTCCTCGAGATCATAAACGACTTCAAGAACAACGTGTTCACGATAACTGAGGTCGAGAGGCTCGTTGAGAACTGGAGGAACCGGAATGACGTACAACAAAGCTTCAAGGATAAGCAGAGACAGTTGACCGCGATGAGGGAAGAGTACGAGAGGATACAGAAGAGGATGAAGGAGGAAATGAAGGCGCCGACTCCTTTTGACAGGATCAGGAAATTCTTCTCTAAAGGAAAGAAAGGTAAATATTGTAAGAAAAGAATGTCGCGATAAAGGAGATAGTTAAATATAAGGATAAATGATTTTGAAACGTTGGTATAACTGAGAAATGAATGAAAAGTGATGTTTAGAAGAGGGTCGATTTTAGAATCTGTTTTAGACACTTTGGCTACAGGAACTTTAAATAAAAGTTTTTAAAAAGTTTTTTAAAAGTTAGTCTTTTAAAAATCAATAATTGACAGCTATGTAAGTTGGAGTATTCTATTATTGCAGACTCGAAAGACTCTGCGAGCGGAAGCGACGATTCCACAGCCAGCAAAGCGGAGACTATTAATGGAGGACTGGCGGATCGCAGACCAGTTAGCAGTCTGAGTCTTCGTAGCGTGTCAAGTATGAAACGTTCGAAATGTTGAGAAGTTGATTTAAAATGTTTGAAACGGTGTTTAAAGTTCGTATTTCTGTCCTTTAAGGCTCGTCTTCATCTGGCAGAATGAGCACCGCCAGTGGATGCAGTGGAACTAGCCTAGGCGACAGTGGAACGCATTCTGACACCGAAGACAGAAGAGTACGTATCGAAAGCACAAGTTTATTTTTTAAAATTTTAATTTAAAATTAAATAACAAAACTTAAATAAAATTTAAAATAAGGAAAATAAAATGTAAATATCTGAAAATAAGAAGGTAATTTTAGAAAATTTTAAATGGTAATAAAATTCTGTTTCTTTTGTAGCTACAGAACGCGAGGGAAGATAAGCCAGGCGTGATGTCCTACGAAATACCGCCCGCCCCGAAACCTTTCGCTGGAAGGTACTCACCTGCGCTCAGGTACTCCCCGTCGCCTCGTTCCTCAACCGGCAACGACCTTGACCTCAGACCTTCTCAGCTACCATCGAAGGCGGAGGACAACGAGTATTACATCGCTTTTCCTCCCTCGGGTTTACCCGTGCACTGTAAGTATTAACACATTCCGGTGACGTTAGTCCGACGTCATTTTAAATTCTTCAACTGAATACCAGTAACGTAATCGTATGTCACTTCAAATACTTCAGATGAGTACCGGTAACGCTAACCACATAATTCTACGTCATTTCAAAATCCATAACCAAGAACTAATAGCATAATTCTATCATATATTTTCGTCATAGCCATACACATTTGAATAGCAGACTTTACGATATTTACCTACAGAATTTGTAAAATGATATGCAGTCACAAACGCGTTAACACTCGGAACAGTACAAATTATTAAAAAATTAAAAACAACAGTAATATTGAACCAATATTAGCAACAGTGTACCTATAAAATGTAAATCCTTTGTCTCCCAAAAATGCTTCATCAGAATTCACAAAGATTCAGGTTGCAAAGGGTCCATTCATCCATTTGTTCATCTATTTATCTACCTCTAGTCCTATTAAAAAAATTCAATAGAAAATACAATATATTCTCAAAAATCTGCGCAAATGTTCAACAGCGTTCAAGCCAGACCACTCGCAGAAGGAGCCAAAGACCCCAAGCTCTCCGTGCGACCACCCGAAGTATCTGGAAATGATCCAGAACCCATCACCAGGTGTTGCGAACACTCCAGACTCGGAACAGCCGCGGCATCCAAGCAATAGTTACGCGAACATCGAGCCGGCTCCCTTGAATTCGGCCCCTGCGCCGCCTCCAGGCATGTGCATTCCCACGAACTACATGAACGTGACACCTGCCCGCGTCACGCCATTCCAGGAAGTCGTCCAGGGCCAACAGAGGCACTCGACTGAACTGGCACAGACGCCAGAGTGCTCAAAGAACCTGGCTAAGGCTGATACACCGAAATCAGAGGATATTAAGACACTTGCTGATGGTCAAGGTCAAGCTGCAGACGTGGCTGTGAACAAGAGTAACGAGGAATACGTGGAAACAGACCTGGTGAATGGTTCTTGTGACGTAGACGTCCCGGACTGCGGCAGAATGCCAGATTACATGAACGTGGACCTCTCACAGGATCTCAAGGTCACTGCCAAGAAGGCGCCTGCTCCACCTGTACCCCCAAGAGGTAAGATTTTGTTTGCTTGTGTTTATTCATTGTTTAATAAATGACTGGAGCAATTGCTAAATGGAAATTAATTTATGAAAACGAGTTTATTTTTTAATAATTATTTTATTTGATATAGCGATTATTGGTTTGTCGTTGTATAGGGTATTGGTGTATATTGATAGCAAACTTTGGAGAAATTTTAATGTAAATATTTAGATGTGTTTGTGTTTTACGGAAAGGAATTCAAACTTTAATTATTATCTGAGATTTCTTTTTTTCTTGTGTATTTTACTTTACTTTTTTTGTGAAAGTATTAAATTTGTAGAATCTCCAACTGTTGCGCTTTTGATATTTTTCTAATGACCAAGACTGTTCACATATTAATTAAGGTTTCCTTTCTTCAACGATTACGAAAAAGCAAGTATTTGCGAGAACGTTCTCCGCGTATACTCGGAAACCCTTTGAAAGAACTAAGTCCTTAAGAAGCTCGGAGTGATTCAAAAGGTTCATTGAAATCCGGGTTGGGAATTGACATTCCACTCGAGCTAATCACTCAATCGTTCTCTTTTACCCGGGGAATTCACAGGGACTGGTTACTTAATCGGACTTTCATCATCATTATTTCTTGAAACCTTCTCAAGCTGCCTTAAAAAGGCAAGCTTCTTTCGTACTAGTAATTTCCTCGTCTTAGCTTCATCATCGTCTACTGCCTTTAAGCAGTGTTTGCCCCAATTTCTCCGATTTTCTCATTACAATATTTTACTCAATTAACTCTTTGCGCTCAAAAGCTTTTCATTAGAAATATTTAACATTTTCGATTTTATTCTGAGTTCTGACAACATTCTTTGTAAATAATTAATGATCAAACATACGTAAATTAAGAAACAAAGCTATTTTATTTCAATATTTCATCTCACTTTCACATTACCTCTCGAGAGCAAAGAGTTAATAAGACATAACAAAAATATAACATAATCACAAAATCCTATTCCTGATTCGCAATATTTACTTCTATCGTTTTATTAATCGAGTAAAAGAAGAATATTAATTCGTTCAATGTATTTTCTGTTTCAGGCGCCACAAAGAAGTAAGAATATAGCCACTACAGACGCCATTGTCATTCTTTTACTTCTTCTACGATAGAAGATCATCCGCGAGACGTGCCTTCGATGATTGTTCACTTCATTCACGAACTGTCCGTTAAATAGTTCCATCAAAGTGATCGTACGACGCCAGTGTTCTTCGTAATTGTTAGTATTAATAGCGTATTCAAATGTAAATCGTTCGGCACTGTAATCTTCAGTCTCTTGTGTACATTGTTTCCTCTTCGTGCGATCTTCTCCTCATTCTCGTTCGAACACTCGAGGAGGCGTGATTTAATCTTTGAAATTTTAATGTTCAACAATGTTCTGGCACGCGTTTAGATAATTCACACGAAACGGTTTCCACGAAGTGCCTGGAACGCGTCATAGGAAAAAGAACGAGATATTAATTAGAATGATAACTGTTACGAGAAATATTATTTGCAAACGGTTAATATGTTTATTCGTGTTAAGATTAGTTTGTAAACGTTCTAGTTTAATATAAAATACCGAAGACCAATCACTTCGAACTTACGCAGTTCAAATAATATTTCTGTGAATGTTACATTAATTAGAAAAACTTTGTATGTATTCGTTTTAGATGTCAGAAGTTTGAAAGTTGCACAGAATCTTCAGTTTCACTCAATATATAGCCTGTAATCTTGTAAATGAATGTTATTTCCTTTACTTGTAGAAAATTCCTCCAAAGATTTGTAAATCTGAACTTAACAGGACCTAACTTAATGTACGATGTAATAATTTAGATAATTTTCCATCGAATATTCGCACTTATTTGTTAATCCAATATGTTCGAAGGGTTTTTGAATCCTTAGAGGCTAACCACCCTCGAGATCGTCGCAAAATGGCGGCTGGGAATTGAAACGTGTACTCGTTAGACTTAAGGGAAAAAGCGGTGATTAAGGACATTCGATGCCCCAAATTAACCACTAAGTTGTATATTAATCTATTAATTAATTAGTTAATTCGGATCTCGATCCAACTTGCAATACAATGCTAGCGAGCACCAAATCAAAGTTTCGTCGTTTTGGCGTGCAGCCAAAATTGAAAATCTGTATATATATATACGTTTCTATCTCTGTCTCGTCTATTCTTTACTCTAATCACAATAACTATTATCGTTTTCATTTAAATGTTAAGCTGTGAATGTTCAATGGAACGTATACGACGTCTGAAGACTGTAAAGAAAAATGGCGTCGACTCACAATCGTATGTAATAAGAATCGAATCGAATACTCTGTACAGGCGTCGAGTTTTCGGCGAACGCTGTCGCACCAAACGTGTCTCAAGTACCAAGAATGCATTTAACAATCTAATTGTAATTGTAATTGTAATTGTAATTGTAATTGTAATTGTAATTCTAATTCTAATTCTAATTCTAATTGTAATATGTTAAGCCATAACTATTTTCTGTAATTTTTTTACCGGATTCGCTGAAGCCCATTCTTTTCTATTTATGTTAATGTATCAATAAACGAAGAAATTACAAGACGTGTGTTTTTTTTTCAAATCAATTGACATTGCTCGAAAACCTTAGCAACCTGTGATTTCATTTTGAATTTTTCAATTAGAACACTTACATTTTTCCAATAATATTTACATTGCATCACACTTGTCAGACATTTGAGTTTTTAAATCAACTTTCCGAAGATTTTTTATGAAAATATTTTGTCTAGTCTGGCGTGAAAAACCGGTCGTCCTCGGAAGTCAACGCTTCCGAAGAATTATGCAACCAACTCGGCTGAATATGCAGATCTGAAGCACCATGAGAAGAAAAAGCGTCGGTTAGTGTAAAAGCAAACACAGTAATCCAATATCTTTCGAGATTCGAGATTATTTAAAAAATCAATTAAATAGGAATAATTTAATTCCTATAAAGCTAACTAAGGTCATATTTACATCTATATTGCACCTCGTTTGTATACCATTTGTTATAAAAAAATATAAATAATACATTGTTTATACTACCTTATAAATGTTATCTTACAAAAATTACTTTCACCCTTCACATCCGAAATTTCTCAAATACTGTTTCAACAATAACAAAAGTGTAACTATTTAAATTGCGTAAGAAAAGGAGTTATATTTCTAATATACACACAAACAGAGATACTAATTAAATCTGTTTCTAACACAGTCCGACGATACAGGCGCAAATTAATTACACATTTAACATATTTTTCAAACAACGACATGAGGGAACGCTTAACGACGTATGATGTCACGACAGTTTGCGTAGTGGCAACTGCGCCTCTGAATAAAACATGTGATTGAGTATTCATCGCCATCATTGAACTGTCTCCTGTAGCGTCCGCCACGCCGCTAGGGAAAACCAGTCACTTTTCAAGTCCACGAAAAAAATGTCCAATTCGTGACTAATAAGACAATACCGAAGTTTCGTCGGCTGACAAGGACGATTGTTTTCGATTGGAAGCTACCTCGGCCTAATAAACGATCATTCAAATAGCGTTAACCCTTGTCACGTAACAAGCACATTGTCTTTAGCTGAAAATCTCCACCGATGCGCTCTCAATGAAAATATATTAATCCACAATTTCTATATAATATAATACATAAATTAGTAATTTAAAATTAATAATAAGAGAATTTACATCAAAACTTTATATTGTATACTATCTCTATCCTAAATCAATCGATCTTCTTTTCCAACGGACAAAAGTGAAAAGTCCAAATGATAATTTATGAATCTTTTTAACGCTAAAACTTCCGAACAATTAGAACAACTTATTTCCAATTTATATAAAAATTAGATATTTAAAATTTGTATAAAAACAGCAAATCTAATAAACTAAACATTCTAAAAGTAGTCACTTTTACTTGCCCAATACTTATACTGTTAATTTGCATATTATTCCATGTTACTTATCATTGTCGTAACTGTTTGTCTAGAAGCTAAACATTTTCAGGCAGTATTGCTATGTATATCACAAAAAAAGGAGGCGAGGGCCGGAAAACGATCCATAAAACAAAAATAAAAGGGCCGCAATTAAACGACCCGGAAACCGTCTAGACTGCAAGCTGCTTTTACATTTCTTTCCTCGTGGCTTGAAGAAACCGCTATCTTCCTTCCGCTCGATTTAGATTTCTCGTTAATTGGATTCGGACGGCTAATTGCGGTCCGACATCCGAGGTGGAACCGGCGATCTCTCGACCGGCGAACGACGGACCCGCGTGCACGCGCGATTCATCACCAAAGTGGGGATCGATCCTATATAGGAGGGAAATTCCTCTCCCCTTCGGCAAAAGTGAGAAGGACACGATCACCTGTCGATAACCGTCTATCGTTCTCCGGTATGCCAGTAATCAGTTCGCATCTACCGACTAATCGTTTACTAGACAACCGAGCGTTTAAATAATACGTAATCCTTATAAAAATTGTAACACTAGATTTTCTTCGGTTTCATCGTATATTGATTATAGTATTGAAGTGAAACTACTTGTTTTCCCAATTAATTTCGGACGTTTAATGCTTTTAAAATCTCGATAATTGCCAAATAAGAGAATTGACGTCTGTTACTTTGACGGGCGCGGTTGTTCTAGTATTAATAATCTTGACATAACAGTTCTTATAAAATGTGTGTTATATCGGAAACATCGGAAACATCGGAAACTTTGTGGTTGTTTATACACATTTTATACTTTGTGAAAACTAGATTTAGGGGAGAGTTCCTTTAAGTATTTAGAAGATTTTTTTGTGATTTTATGTATAAGTAATTGTTATCGAATTGAAAAAATGTGTTTAGTTAATGATAATTACACAGTGCTTAAAACGAGAGATTATTGCAATGGTAGTATAAAGTTTATCATTGTTTACATGTTGAAGAAAAGTGTCAGCAACAGTGTTGTCGTAATAAATAAATTTCAGTGGTTAAAAGGGTAAGATTGTATTGAATTGCTTCAAAATATTCAGTTTTCTGTTTTTAGGTTCATCGGAGATAACCGCCATTTTGTTTGGACGTTGTAAGGACAATTAAAGGATGAAATTTCTTCTAGTGACTTTATTATTAACGTTAATTTTGACCGTCACATACGGTCAACTCAGGTAAACTACATTTTCCACAGTAACATGCCTTAACATTAACAATAATAGAAATAATTATATATCCCTCGTTATGTTATAATATTGACATTAATATTCCTCAAAATCAAAATGATTTAAATCTGATTGAAACAATAATTTATTAACTTATGTTTATAACAGTTAATTTTGATTAAAACAATATAATATTCGCAGATACGAACCGTTCGCCGAGAAACCAGGATCCTGTCCTCCAGCTCTGCCAGTTCAAATCTGCAGTCAGTCGTGTTTCTCTGATTCCCACTGCTTAGGGATCGGCAAATGTTGCCCGACTAATTGCGGAGGATACGTCTGCTCGAAACCTGTGACAATGCGGCAATCAAATCCACAAGGTAAAATATAATGTTTCAACGTCACTAATTAGCGCCGATAAAGATCACTTATTCAGTAGACTATTTTTATTATTTTAAAAAATAACAAAAAAATATTACGATATTTATAATAATACTTTTATATCGTTAACAAGTGATTAAGATTTTATAACTAAAATTAACAGATCATTGAAATAATCAATTGTAGCTTACGTTTCGCAATTAATATTTTAGATTGGAAACTTTAGAAACTGTTAAATCATTGTATAAAATATTGAGATGTTAAATAACAAGAATGACTGTTACTTAAATTAGTTTCCACTTGATTATGTCTTGGTTGACATTTAAACAAGTACTTTTAATAGAAAAAGTTATTCAATATACAATTGAAGTTTGTACCTTAATCTTGAAGTAGAAACCATAGGATTTCTTGGTTCATTCTTATAAAATAATATTTTTCAATTATAGAGAAACCAGGATCCTGCCCAGCAGTGCCAAAAGGACGATGGGTGTGTTCGCCAACTTGCAGCGTGGATAGCGACTGCAGAGGAACGCTGAAATGCTGTAAAAATCGGTGTGGTGCATTGGCCTGCCAGAAACCGGACGTCGAAGTGATCGAATCCGTGGAACTTCCGGTTGTCCCGTTACCGGATGAACAGCCCGACATTCCTAGGAATCCGTATGAAAACCCTAGGGATCCATACGCGATCCCTAGAAATCCGAATACGTATCCCTATTACTTCTATAATAATTAATTAGGACGTTCACAGTTACACTAGATCAGGAACAATTAAAAGTTTATAGACTTTGTGAAACTTGACGCCATATACTCTTCACACGTGCCATATTGAAAAAAAACATATGAACTTTTTTAAAACATTATAAATCACTCTGTGAAAAATTATTATTTATAACAATGATCTTAAAAATCAGCTTCGTTCTTCATTTTTCCTCAACACTTTCGGTTGATTAGAAAATAATTTGATTGATTATGTTGAACGCCTAGTGATATTGGAATTTCTTGAGAGTGAAAGAATGATTGACAAGAATGATTATAATTTAAATATATAGTATTTGTTAATATTTATTGTTTATGAGATAAGTTCTCTAATGAAACAGAATAAGACTATCTATCGAAGGTGGATCTCAGAAGGTCAACAATGATATCTAAAAGGAAAGATGTTAAAAATGTGTCCTTCACCGGAATTTTTAGATGTCAATTCAGTAACGTGTAGTTTTACGTAAGAAATTGCGGTTTAACCTGACTTTTAACCTAACTGGCCCACATTTGCACGGCATATTAGATAATATGTACGGTAACACGTTCATGCATTAAAAGGAAGAGGTCGTTGACAGACTGGAGAGTGGAGAAATTTTAATCTTTACGAATATAGATGAAGACAAGAATTAATTATAAATTGAAATCTGAATAAAAATTTGAATTAAATCAGAATCGACGAAGTTACACCATTGAGAAAGAAAGAAGAAAATTAAGATTCATTTTAATATAAACGATTTACATATACTTCGAATTTTAAATTAAGAAAACAGCATAAAAGAATCTAGTATTTCACAAGATGAATAAAAATTCTTTTATTTTCAACGAAGAGACTTCTTACATCCCGCAGATTGATATTGCCAATGTAAATGTCCGTCTTACCGCGCACTTTATTAATAACAGTAATTACATGTACGCATCAGTCTGTCAGAACATGTTGTTTAAATAGTCAGCGATGGCTTCAAACTGAGTGTGTATTCAATAGTTTAAATTGTTTCAATGCTGTTTGTCATACTTCTTTAAAATGGCACTTTGAAAACATTAAAAAAATCAAAAAACAATTTACTGTTCTTTAAAATTCAAAAATATTAATAACTATTCATACCGTTTTATAAATATTCATAAATTTGTCAGACACATTTAAAAAACCTTCAACCTGGTACATCGAATTTGAACAATCCAGCAGTGTTCTCAATGTCACTCTTATCATTTCATAAAGGCAATTTGCATCAGTGTTTTCAATGTCGCCATAATACATGCCGCAGATCCGTAACAGTTATACGAGGAACCGGCACAGATCATTTGAGCGCTACTTACGTTGAAACCCGAGTGCGACGTGAATCATGCAATTTCGATGCACACATGCAATTGGAATACCCGGTTACATTATTCCTGGAACATGTATTTGTGTCATACGGCAAAAATAGTAAATTGATAACGGTTATTAAAACGTACACGAAGCAAAACAGTGTCCGGGAACCCGGGGAAACAATCCCCGATTTTCCAGTGTAATTCACCCAGAGATCTTGCTTTCGCTACGAAATGGAGGTGGAAACGTGGAGAAACAAGGAGGGAGGAAAGAACAGAGATTTAAGAAGCTGAACTCCTATCGTGCACCGATTAGACGTGAAAACATCTGCCAACTGGACAAACCTGCCTTTCTGCAAGGTGCAAAGTAGACGAAGACCTCGCAACGAACTAGAAAATGATCCGTACGTGTTTGCTTTCCGAGGAAAGCTTTATTCTACTCTCACCAAAATTGTATATTTAGAAAATATTTATTGTAATAATTATTTTAATTGCAAAATACTTAATCATTTCATTTGTTATATGCTACTTTTAAGATCATACTATATACTTATCATTGGTACTGTGAAACATTCATGTAATTTTGTTTCATTTAGAATTTATTAAGTTTTCTTTACACCATTCTTTTTCAGAGCAAGAATTTGTAGTTGCTTCGGTATCAGAGAAATAATATTATAATAAATAAAAGGGAGGATTTTTAAATGTATGTTTGTAAGAGTCATTTCAAAGTCAAAGAAATATTTCTTTGTTATTGTATACTTGTGTCTCGAGTATTACATGTATGTGATATTTAGTACGAAACACTCGGTACATTTACCTGTCTGTTGCTCACTATCAAGCTTCGAAGAATCGAGCTCGTCGTTTCTGAGTGATTAATGAATCATTTTCTGTCACAGAGAAAGGAACAATTCTTGCCGTAACGGTGTGCTTGCTAGTCGCTGTGACAATTGCCCAGCTGTCCTGTAAGTTAATCAATCGATTTAAACACATAATTATTTCCACTGAAACGTGTGTCTCTGCGAAATTACAAGATTCGCCTTGACTTTAATAAAGAAGATTTCCAAACAGTACAAGCGAAATTAAATTCAACCGTGACCTTTGAAATATTATAATGTGTAATATGTTTCAATAATTTCACGCCACTTGTAAACCGGTTGTGCATGGACCTAAAGACACTATTTTAATCTTATGATTAACATCTTGTTTATCGTATTTTATTAAAAGATTATTAATTAAAGTAAAAAAATGGAAGGTCTATTTTAACAGTGTTCAATTGTGTCTTCATTTTTTTTAATGAATATGTTATATTACTAATTATTGGTTGTAACAACTATAAATAATATTTAATTTTTATTATACGCAACGATAAGCTCGTTGAGGAAGCTTTGTGGCGCCATCTACGTAAAAATGTCCAAGCTACCAGCAACGAACCACAAACTCAAATGATAACATCTTATGTTACCGTTCGCTACTTTACTAATACAGACTTCATCATCTTGTCTTTAGATAGCGCCATTACAACTATTTAATATTTAATATAAAAACAATTTTAATGTTAAATATCATTCTCATTTGATCAAAACATTAATATAGCTAAAAGTGGCCACTGTCCGCTGAAAAACAGCATATCAAAATGCACTCCAAGATGCGTTACGGATTATCAGTGTTCGATGAACGAAAAATGTTGTCCAAATAAATGTGGAACCGAATCATGTGCGGATGCAAGCATTTTCAGTGCCGGAAATGGATATAAAGGATCGCAGAATGGTAATAGATTTAATGCCCTTTTCTTTCGAGAAATTTTCACTTTTTCATAAAATTTGTTTTCACTAATTTCATGATAAAACGTGTGTTTAAAATTCACTTAAGACATTACGCGTTTCAGAAGGAGTTTACTGCGCCGGCATAAAATGTGGACCGTATGAAAAATGCCAATTTGACCGCAAAACGAAACGTGAAAAATGTATTCGTACGTGAAGGATTGCAATAAAAGTCCATAATGTAATCTGTTGTAATTTTAATCCATTTCAACGAACCATTAATTGAAAATATTGTAAAAAATGATCACTATCATCTGCATTATTTTTTTTTACATTTTCCTATTCATCTATCAAATATTCAATAAATTTTTTTACACGAAATGTTTTCCTGTTTACCGCGAAAAAATTGAATTTTCCTTATAACGATTATACAACCTGTTGAAAGTCGAGAATCGACAAGATAAGCCAGATCGATACTTCTTCTCGGTAATATCGTTGTTGTTAGGCTAGAAACACGATTGTAACGACTATTTAGGTTTTAGTTTATTTAAAACGTAAGTACAACGTGATGTAAAGATGAAAACTCTTCGTCTTTGAAGTTTCCCGACAAAATGGCATTTCATCTGCTCTGGTATTGCGTATTAGATAACATACTTTATTAACCTTGTAAAAAGAGGTTAGGTTTATGCCGATAAGCCATAATAGCTATGGAGTTTTTAGTAAATCGATTGAAAGCTCTTATTGTACTCCTCTTGGGAATATTCAGACGAGCGATGTGTTGTCTTCGACGTCGACGTAGATCGTCTTGCGATTCTATTCCCTTGTCAGCAGTTGGTGTGGTACCAAACACCACAAACAACACAACAGTGAGTTTCAAATGCTACCATTATCCTTTGAATGCTGTATTTCACAAGGATTTTAAGATTATGTAAACCATATTGTACCACTGACTTCGATAATAGTAATCACTGAAGATGCTTGCTCAAGGAATCAGAGCAGTGGGATCAGTGGGAGGAAAATCCTGTTGTTGTTGTACCAGACAAGCCTGTGAATACAATACAGGCTAAAATCGAACAATACAGACAGCAAGCATCTCAATCACCAGAATCTACAGAAGAGCCACACGCAAATTTTTTTGAGGTAAATACATAAGGGCCTATTAAATGAGTCTTTAGATATCTTAAAAGGTTTACGTTTGGATCTTTTTGATATCTTTAGTTACAAGTACTTATATAAAATAAAAAATAACCCAAAGATAACAAATATTCTGTATGTTTTTTAAGGACATGACACCAAAGATCACCAGACAAATAAAGATTTTAGTGAAGGATAAAATATCAGAAAACACTTCTTGGAATTCTTCAAAGTTTGCAGTAAATAGTAACCCTGTACCATCTGTAAGTTTGTACATTTAATATAGGGTGTCTTAAAATGTATCAAGTGTTTTATAGGATATATTTAACCACATATTTTGAGACAACTGAAACTTCATATTCATAGTGAAGCAACAAAAATTAAAAAATTAACATTTGTACAGAATGAGCTTGGAGAATGGGAAGATAACACTGTTGGTTGGGAAGAAGAAACGTCTAAAGAGTTTGGGGATCCTACAAAAACGCTGAGAGAACAGAAAAGACGAGAACGAGAACAGAGACTATTCGAACAACAACAGAAGAGGATTGAACGCAATTCAAGACCGCAGCCGTTAGGAGCAAAGCTAACATCTTGATGAGAAAGAATATACTCAAAGCAATTTTTTATCACAATTCATAACTTTCCATCTATTGGTGGTCAGACATAAGAATTTTTCAACACCGCATGGAACGTCATATAAAACCAAGAAATCAAAGAGCATTACGATTTACGTTGTCAGTAATTGTTGTGTTCCATTGTAGTAATTAAAACAATGTATCCAATGTAGGCTAGGAGCATACAATGATTTATTTTCTCTCTGTGCGGCTATATTATTTTTCTTTACTGTGGATGCATTGAGGGCCTTCCAACATCCTTTATAAAACACTTTCACAGCTTTAGAGAGAACATCTATTGCATGATCAGACAACTTGGATGTGACCGCTTCCAGAAGGACATTTCCCTCTTGAGCCTCAATTATCGAATGTCTAATTGCGAATTATTTTCTTAAATTCGTATGTTTTTCAGTATCAATTTTCTGAATATCTCCTCTGCAAATAGAGTCTATACAACATGCGATGCATTTAAACTATTATATCTGTTCAGCTGAGAGGCACAGAATAGTATTTAACATTGTAAAAAGCAACAGACTTTTAACACTCAACAATGTTGTATTATAACGTAATACAAATGTGAAGGACGGACGTATGTATGCAGTTTGTGCAGTCTTTAAACGAATTTACTCTAATGCATTCACTGTTTATTCTCGACATGTTTTTTTCACATTTAAAAACATTCCATGTAAATAGCCTTGTAGTGTTGTTTAAAATCTGTTTCCATTGTAATTGGAACGGACTGTTTTTAAATTTGTATTTAAATTACATTGGCCTCTGAACTTCTATAATGTGCATGTGCCTTTATTTGGTACTCAGAGTTTGAACAATTTTTGTATCCATGTAATTTCATTGGAAGTTAACATTACAATGAAAGCAGAAAACTATGCCATATGGCAATGGTTGTTTTTATGATGATTTCAAAATGTGAACTATGTTGATTGAGTTTGTAGCAATACAAAATAAATAGTGTTATTGAATAACGAAATATTATTAAATATTTCTTAAACGTCCAACTTTGTATACAAATTTTATCTTGCTCGAAAATAACATAAAAAATGGTAATATTTTCAACAGAAGAAATGATAAATACGTAATTTTTTCGACGTAAATAATACATACTCAGTATTCTGTATGTCGATAAATGTATATGACCGTACCAACTTTACCATATTTACAGCCAGATAAGGCCAGGCAGAAAATGATAAGCACGAGCAAAAGCAGCTCAGGATAGAGTAATATCATTTCCTTGTACGAGCATTTCACTCATTTTTACATTTACCGAGCATTTCGCTGCGAATCTATTTTGTTTTCCTTAATGCGTACCGGATGTATCAAGTGTAATTACGTGTCCAAACAAGCCGGTAAGTACACTCAAAACGTGTTTGAAAAAAATTAATTATGGTATAATTTATACAAAATACGTGTACGAAATATATTTAATACAAAGCATTAAATACATAAATGTCACACATATAAACCCGCAGTTTAAGAATGAAGCAATAAAAGTTATTTATAAAGCACATGAATGAACTTTTTTGTAATGCGTTTCATTTATTATGGAGTATAACTGTTTTAGCATAAATGATATAACTGCTTTCTGTATATTTAACGTGAACAGTTCCTAACAGAAGTAAGGAAAAGATAAAAGAGGTTAATACGCATGTGAAGTATAAGTAACGGTGATTTAAAAAAAATTCATGACTGATAATTGAAACTTGAATAAATAAAAACTACTTATGAATAATGGAACTTCAAAAAGGTGCAACAGTTATGATTCATGCTGAACAAGGGAAAAGATTATCTCGTGTACGATAATTAGTCATTCCCCATCAGATATCAGTTAACAAACGTTCGGAAAATGGATAGATATGTGGATCCTACGTAACCCAAATGTTCTAAATTTAATCGCCTTTTTGTACCCAAAGGATTACAACAGAAATAATATCTTTAAAAAATGTTGCTTTTTTAAAGAAAATATTTGTTATTTCTATATCAGAAAATTGACTGATTTCGTAGTAAACAAATTAGAAAACCAAATATTTAAAAATAGCAGAAAAGTAGCAACCGTACAAACGAGTAGGTAAAAATCGATCTTATTGCGTTATGACACAAGACTTCATGCATCAAGGTCAAGGATACAAAAGATGAGCAGATTAAGATGTGAAATTATGTACGTCTTCTAAATTCCTTAACCCTTCAGTGATGCATTTATAATTCATCAAATGTTCGACTGGCTTTCCATTGAATAAAAATTAATCTTTGAACGGAGAATTCATAAAAATATGGCCCAAAGATTTTTGTTTCAAGTTCTAACTTTTACCGGTTTAGAACAGCAAAGGTTAATCACTGAAAAAAACATCAATAAACCAAACTTATAAAACAGATTCAGACCTTCGATGTTCGACTGAAAGAAAAACGAGATTTTACATCTATTTACAACAGCATGGTTAAAAAAATAAAGAACGAGTTTGCCCGTTTTGAATTGCGTCACGCGCGTGGCGACGCGTGGATGCAACAATGGTTGCATACTATGTTTTGAACCCAAATGTATTCAAAAGTTTCAACTGAAAATAGTAACGAAGTTATTTAAATGAGACTGTTCTAATTTTTCAATTGCTTCCGACATATTGATTTCCTGTTTACGCGCTTCCAATAAAAAAATGATTAAACCACTAATTTTTATTTAAAAAAAAAGTATATTGAATATTATTTTTAAAAGACATTTAAAAAGCTACGTTCGCACGATATTTTTTTATCAGACTAATGAATATATCCTTCCAGTTTGATCCCCATTCTCCACGTCAGAGGACACCCTGTATAAGTCTGCGGTTAGCTATGTGCGGTTAATTCTGTTTCCGTCCGAGCGCGGCGAACTTCAGGCGCCGATAGCTGTGTGTACGTGCCAGAGAGACGATGGAGAAGATCGTTTGACGAGGATCGCGTATCACGAAACAAGTTACTGGTAATCCGTCACGGAAATCACCGGATCATATCCGTTTCAAGAGACATTCCTCCTCGATGACTGACGCGAACACAACCGAAAAAAGCTCGCGGTTGTCAGATGCTTCTTGCCTTTACCCTTGACAACACACAACATATGCAAATTCGAAATGTCAACATCAGGAGGTGAGCTGGCCCCCTCGGCACTAGAACAGAGACATATCTTGCTTTGTTCGTTTTGATACGTTTTGTTCACGTTCCTATCAAACCGTTAACCTCTTCGAGCGACAAAAACGCACTCTTCGTTTAGACTCGTGTTTTTCGAATAACGGCCTAAGATGTAGGACAAAACGGTCCTACCGTCGTATCATCTTTTTCACTCAGTGTACGGGTAACGCGTATAAACACAAAGAGAAAGAAAGAAAGAGAGAGGAAGAGGGAGAGAGAGAGAAATAGCGAGAGAGAAAGAGGGTAAAAAAGCATTGCGTCGAACGCGTTTAAAATTTCTCCATGAAAATCCGTGCCCGTTGTTTCGATATTGTCGCCGTTTCCGGGAACGAAGTGGAGACCCGAATCAGTTTGAGCGCGTTCCTTCTCTCTGCTCAGAACATAATCATGTTACTGGTCATATAGTAAGAGCAGTGGTACCGTCATTTTTAGTAATTCGTATAGATAACATGGAATTAGTTAGACAACGACGACGAGGTCGTCGAAGAAAAAGTCAATATCCGGACACTGACGATTATTTTTATCTATGGAGTACGAGTCCGTGAGAGGTTTTGTGTACACTTGGGAACGCGCGACACACGGTCGCTTGTGTGATTGAAATTCACCGTGCGACAATAGGTTACCATGTTTCTCGTTTCAGATAGAGGAACCTGCTTCCACACAATGCGCCGCCTGATAAGAGATTTCTTAGATGGAACTCGCTTCATATGAATCGTTTTGTGATACCCATCGTTTCTGGAATAATGTAACCAGGAAGTGTGTACATGTGTGTGTGTGTGCGCGCGACAAATAGTCTATTTTTATTGTAAATTGCAACACTAAATAGCAACAATGGGTTCCATTGCCTTGGAAGAATATGAACTTATGAAAGACTCTAAATATAGAGTGTAAGTAGAACATGCCTTATTTGTTTACTAGCGCCTTTTTTTTTATTATGCAAAACTCTATTGAATATATTTATTTATCTATTAAATAGATCTATTAAATAGAATACTATATATGTATAATAAAATATGTATATTATTAAAGATGTACATATACTTAAAAATTTGGAACATTTTATACAGCTATGTGTCTGCAGTTGACAAAGCTCTAAAGAGCTTTGAATATACTAGCGAATGGGCAGACTTAATTTCTGCGCTGGGAAAATTAAACAAAGTACTGCTAAGTCATATGAAGTTTCCAGTTATTCCTAGAAGAATTAAAATATCCAAAAGATTGGCACAGTGTATGCATCCTGCTTTACCATCCGGTGTTCATTTGAAAGCTCTAGAAACCTATGACATTATTTTTAAGTGTATGGGCACTAATAGATTGAGTCATGAGCTCTTCATATATAGTGCTGGTAAGTTTTAGCTCACAGGCAGTGTTTCAAACGATAACAGTAGGGGAAAGGAAATAATTTTTGAAAATCTCCTGTAGGTTTATTCCCATTATTGGGTCATGCTGCTATGAATGTAAGACCATCTTTACTGACTGTATACGAAACTCATTTTGTGCCTCTTGGAGAGAGATTACGGCCTGGATTGAGCGGATTTTTAAGTGGTGTACTTCTTGGTTTAGAAGATGGATCTGACCACTTTGATAGGTATTGTTTATGTTAGAACTTTTCATGAAAAGTTTTTAGTTAAGAGGTTCAGTTGGGTTATTTCTAAGATATGATGGACAAAATTCGTGAATATTTCTATGAATTTAACAGTATAATTAGGCAAGAATAATAATAAAGATATTTTTCAGAACTAATTCCTTACTGGAGAAGGTATGTGAGGGAGTAAGTCCAGAACATTTCTATGCATGTCTGTGGGATTGTTTAGCTTCAAATTCTGGAATTCGGTTACCTGCTATATCATTTGTGTTAGCACATTTCAATAAAAAACTGCCAATGGAAGAACAAAGGTATATTATGGGCACAGACACCAAAATTATGGTGAGTTAAATTATATCTATAAGAGAAAGTGAAATGGTTATTTCTTTTTTATTGACTAAACATCAAAATTATAAAATAGGTTACAGCTCTTTGCGCTGGAGTACAAGACAGTTCAGTGTTAGTACAAAGAAGTGCTTTGGACTTGCTGTTAGTTGGTTTTCCTGTACATAATAGTCAATTAACACGCAAACATATGGTATCACTAGTCACAGCTGCTCTTGTCACTATATTAAGAAGGGACATGAGTTTGAATAGGTAAATTGAGAATAATATAAAGATACAGAAAAAAATCATTTAATATTTTATGCATTAAATTTACATATATACATCATAGGCGTTTGTTTGCTTGGCTTTTGGGCACTGAAGTAAGCACATCTATTTTAAAGAGAAAAATAGTTACTACAGTCTCAGAGACCACAGAAAATACACCCACTTATTTTGATATGTATTCAAAAGAAATGTTAATAGAAGCGATTAAGTCGTTACTAAAAACGGTGTGCGAGGAAAGTCCGCAGGATTTGAAACCATACAGAATATTAGTGTCGTTACTGGAGAAAGCAGAAATTGGTCCAGTAATTCTGGATGATATTTTGTTTGAAGTTTTTAGGTAAGCAACTGAATCAAAATTGATGTAAAATATCAATACTGTAAATGACAGAATTATTAATTCTCTTTTACGACAGGACATTTTATAACGCTTGTGGACAATCAAATAGAGTACCAAAAACTAATGAGGTAGTGAAGTCAGCAAATCTATTGTTTTCAACATTGGAGCCATCTTACGTTTGGATACATTGCGGACATTTGTTTGAAAAGGCTTGTCAAACTAGAGCAAATAGTAAAGAAACGGAAGATGTTGTTGTAAGGCCTGTAGGTAGTGGGGTGCCAAATTTCATGGAAGTGTGCATATTAACAGAATTCCTACTGGACACAGTGTCGTTAGATGCATTTATCGATACTCCATCCGAGCACCTACCTGGCTTATTTTATGAAATTGTCAGTAAGCTTTTATGTTACGTCGATCTTCTGTCTCCTATGGAGATCTCTAGGAGCCTTAGATTGTGCGCGAAAATCTTATCTAAAGTACAACCCACGGTGGTAACCACGCATACAGACAAAAGTGATTTGGAAACGAAGTTGGAGACGATTACAAATGCTAGCACTACCACAGCGCCAAACGACAACTCCTTAGCTGCAATTCCCTTAGAGAAGAGTCAATCTGATAGTAAATTAAATAAACCAGACACGTCAAGTGGTTCATTCTCTGAGAAGAGCCCAAGTCCGAGAAGAAGAGCAAACTCAGGGGGTGCTGCCAAAAGATCCGAAAAAAAGTCGAAAAAGAAATCCAGTAAAAGTACTTCGAAATTGACTGATCCTACACAAGACACCAGCAGCAGCAGCAGTATTTCAGTAGTGGTAAGCCAAGAATCTAAAGGTTTACCGAGAAACAAAAGCATGGATGACATAAAAAGCGGATATATAGAAGCCAGTAGTAGTATTAATTCTCCATCTAAGGATCAGTTGACTACGTTGAAGCAGTCAAGTAAAAGTAGCGCAATGGGTTCGACAGGATCCCTAGGCAGAGGACCGTCTCCGGCATTTCAAGCACAGCACACAATGTTAGAAAAATGTTTAAGACAGTATGAGACGTTTTATGTTAAATTAGTTAGTAATAGAGTACTGAGCAAAGAGAGAACGGTACAGGATATGTATGACAACTTGATAATACCGTTACCAAGAGAGAGTTTCGACGAAAGAATGCGTTACTTAGAACTTTTACTGAACTCCAGATTAAGTATGGAGGATTCTGGATTTTTCAGTCAGGATGTATCCGTGATCGAAGATCCTAAACGGTTGGATATTCTTCATCTGTATGTAGACTCTGTACCACAAGCAGAATGGGAGGAAGCCGTGCGAATAGCTTCCAGTTTGTTCGTGGAGCTTTCTACATTTCCTAAATATTTTCATCCTGGCGATGGAGTATTAGTGGAAGAAGAACCAACAGGACACATCATTCTTCCGGATTGGTTGAAAGTTTTAGTAGTTTGTAGCTGCTGGTTAGGAAAGCAACCTGCTTTACAATTAACCAGTATCGCTACGTTGCTAGATCTGATAGCATTGCTGAAAGCTAACAATGATGTCGAGACTTACACAAAATGCGGGGAGGGTGTAACAGCGGTGATTATGGTACCTTTGTTGAAACAATGGCACATAACATATCTGATGCAATATACCAACGTATTCCAGGTATTTCATTTATTTTCGCTATAGGGTTCCCTTATATTAATATTTGTGAAATTTAGCGGTAAAAAGTTATTCAAATTTACTTTTCGAAGGTGTTAGCACATTCCTTATGGCATCATCTTGGCGAATTACCTGCTCACAAATATAGAATGCGATGCGTTGAATTATTGCACGAACTTCACCATGCTTTGCACAAGTCTTGCGATGCAGTTGAGGACGTAATAGGAGCTGCACTAACTGCAGATAATATAGAAAAGAGGATAGAAGCTTTTAACAGATTTGCCACTCTGTGGCACTTGGGAAGAGAAATAGAAACTAATCCTAGACTGCGTGGATGCATGAAGTCGTTTGATCAGTGAGTCATCATTTTCACATTGTCACTTAATCTATAAAAGCGTTTCATTCTACATTAATTTAAATACGTTTATAGGTCACTGTTGAAGATATTAGATAATCTACAACTCGCAGATAACTCACCTCTAAAATTACATGCCCAATCATGGCTTCTTCACTCTTTGATGCGAGGTGATATTTCACGAATAGTGGATCCGCTACTGATAATACTTTTAGATCCATCCACTTGTCGTATGAGTGTTCTCCATGTCAGTATACAGCATAGTAACACGGTCCTGACCAAAAACGATCCCATAGAAGAAAAATCAGAGGTGCAGGACGACACGGAAGGCGCTGCGAAGATTTATGCGATCAGTTCCGTGGATGGAAATGTGATATATCACGTCAGTGACAATGTGGACGAAGATAAAAAGTGGCGGAAAGGAAAGAAAAAGAAAAAGGCCATAAACCCTGTCAAAGTGAAACGAATATTTGCTGTGACAACATTAGCTGCTGGTGACAATTGTAACCAGTACGTGACCGAGAGGAACCAATTCATGAAAGAACTCGAGGTACCACCGAGTATATCCGGCAACCGAAAGATTTCTGTATTCGTCAATCCTCTATCCTTAAATTGTAATGAAAATTCGAATGACTCTTTGACCGAGGATGAGTCGTTGCCTAGCGTGAAAAAGGTGAATTTAACTACCGAATTGTTAAAAAATGCAACCAGGTTCAAGAAAATAGATTTCGATAAAGGCTCCACGGCTAGCTTGGACGAGAGCCTTTTTGAGTCTGCGAACTCCAGTTCGAAAACAAAAGAGAAGAATGGATTTAAAAAGTTAAACGGGGAAGTTAGCTCCTCGCTGGACTCCATTGCAAATAGTTTCGATTCCAGTAGTCCTGAGATAACTAATAAGCAAACAAAGCCGAAGAAGGAACCAGTTATAATGCCGGGCAGTTCTAGGGAAGTGGCCGGCACTATCATCAAGGGTAAATATCACAGTACAAATGAATTTATGACAAATTACGATGTCCATGACGTTGGGAGCTTCGAAGCAAGCGTTGAAATACCGAGTTGGACAATGGACGACGAAGAAGGTGATTTAGAAACTAGCACTACCGCTGAGGAATACTTCAGCCATTCCAGCAGCAACAGTGTAGTGGAAGAGATTTTAAATGAAGTGCTCGACCGTGTGATGCAACTTTGCGACGTTACTGAGGCATCAAAAAACACCGACGAATCTACTGACCAAAATACAAAAACGGGTCGGAACTATGGAGTCGGTGTGCATAATCTTCACTCGCATATGTTACTTTATTGTGGAGTTTATGACTCAACCAGAACTCTGTATGCATTACGGACCCTTCGTAATGAGCTCCTGACAAATACTAGAATGTTTTTGTGCTGTGCTGCAACTACCGGTGTGTGCAACACTACGAAGAATACAATATTATTAAATTTATTAGCTAGACACCGGAAAAGTGTATTCGGGAGAAACTTTCACGGGGATGTAGCGAATACAGAATTTATAGCTGCTTATAGGAGTAGCATGTATTTAGAAGTTCTTATTAGTGTGTGCCTTTATTTTGCGAGGAGTTACTATCCCAATTTGGGACAGATGAGACTCACGCACGAAGAGATTTCAGGAAATAGACAGGTGATTTATAGGTATTAATGGGAGTTGAAAAGATTGAATGTGAGACATAGACTTTAAATTAAACTAACTGATATACCCATAATTATGAACCAGGTTTTATCCGTAACACGGCATTGCAATCTTTTCAACTTCTATTGTATATTTTTTGTATACTTATTACAACCACTCATTTTCCAATAGGTGCAATTAGCCAGCGCGGAATTATTGACTCTAATATTCTCCGAGTTAATTCCTATTGTTCGTGATTCAGGGAAAGGGTTTAGTTGTTACATCGTTGATTTATTAACAAAGTGCAAAGTACAAAAGGTTGCACTACACTGTCTTGTATCCAGCGTTATGAATATGAAGAACGCACACAAGGAAAACGAGGAGGTGTTCACATTTACAGAAGAAATCATTCTGTTTAATGATCCTGTAACAGATAACGACGTAAATAAATGCAAATATAGAGCAAGCGATCACACCGAAGCTTTCCAAATACAACTACTAAGGTGAACAATTAAAACCGAGAGTAGAACCAAGTATTTTCATTAACATTATATTAACAATGTTTTTCACTATCTAAGGCTACTATTAGCTTTAATCATGCTGGAACACCAATGTGGTAGTCAAAAAGGCGAGGAAATATGTACATCGACTACATCAACACCGAGTACTCCAACTCGGACTGTTCCTAATATCATGGGAAGTAGTTTGAAATATATACCTGGCGCACCGATTCCTCAACAACCAATGTTCCTTGCTAGCATACTGAGTGCTTTAGAATTGGTGTGTACCGAATGTGAATCATATAATTCACAGTTAAAAGTGCCAGGTTTTAATTGTTTCAAATATTTCTTCTAGGACCATATGAGACATTTACATCAGTTTTGGACGACACTTGTTACATCAAGTCTTCCTTTTATGGGGTCCTCGTTAACTAAGATAGTGACATCAGTCATTCATCAATTATGTTGCAACATCGAACACTTAGCATCTTATTATATTAATGAAGAAAGATCAACAGTGACGAAATTGCAGGACATAAGTACAGTCGAATGTTGTCTTCCTGCAGATTACACTGTTACCCATCTAGAAGCCTTAACGTTTTTACTTCATTATTGTTTATTGGACACGTCACAACAAATCGGCTTTTCGTTTAATCAGCCTTTCAGTGGTACAATTCAGACTGGAATTCCTGGGGCAAATCCAGGCCAGATATTCAACAATCTTATTCACGTGTTTATGCCTAGCCCACTCTCTCCAGTAAGCTGTAGATTCATACACTTATTTAAATCTTGTTTCATATTATAGGAATTTTCAATAAATTTTATTCTATTCGTAGGACCCTAATACATCGAAGGATAAAAGCGTCGCGAATGAATTGCAACAACACGCTAGACGGACCGCTTTAAGTCATCTACCAAGAATAATTGCATCACTGTCCACTCTATGGCAAGCTGTGTTAGCAACCACAGACAAGTTCGTTTTATTTCAAGCTTTTTTAGTTTAGTATTTAGTAAAACTTAGTTTCACGAACTTTCTTTTCCTTTATCGGTAATGTAGCGAACAAGCCAGTTGCGTAGTCGGTAGTCCAAGAATAGTAAAACACCAACTTTTGGAACTACTGTCTCCTATATCTTTCCATCATGGAGTAAACTTCCTAGCAGCTATTGCTGTTGCTTGGCATGAAAGGCGACAGGCTTCTGGTAATTCGAAAAAGGTAATTTTTTAATTACAATCTGTTGCAACATATTGTAAATACAAATAATAACTTTTGTGTGTTTTATATTTTTATTCAGGTACTTCCCGAAGCTTGTCCGAATCAGCAAGTTATGGTTCATTTGGTGAGCGCAATTCGTGTAATGCCGATCGACACTTTGGTTCAAACTGTTCATCAAGTTGTAAAGAGTCCGCCTCCTATTCATGGCGTCAAACAAGATTTTTCGTTGGAAGTTTCCGTGTTAGAATTACTTTATGTCTATATGCAAAGTAACACATCACAATCCCTAATTGAATCTTGGGCATCTTTGCTTGGTTTACTCAAAGACGGTCTATCATTAACGGCGCCTGCTCAGTTTCTTTTGTTAGCAATCTTAAATGAGTACGTACAAAAGTGTCCTCCTATGCAGGAGAAAAAAGATATAAGGGATCTTCAAGACGTATCTGCGAAGGTACTCTCAATATTTCGATCACATAAAGTTTGTCCCTTATTTTTTGAGTGAGTTGTTTATAATTATGGAACACTGTTTTAGTTGGTCGAATCATGTTCACAAATAGCCGGAGCATGTCTAGAACAAACAACTTGGCTTAGGAGGAACTTAGCGGTAAGAGAAGACGCCTTCGAAGTGGCTGAAGGATCTTCGGAAGGTAAAGAAGGCAAAAATGGTGCTGGTGCGTAAATGTGCTTTTCTTTTAGAATGATTCTGTTGTTTAATTGTTTAGTCATTTTTGTTCTTTTTATGTTGGAGCGATATTGCCTTAATGTATTAATCTTTACAAAATAAAAAAGAAATATAAACCATTTCATTTCAGTTACGCCTGGAACTCCACCGAATGCTGCATACAGTGTACAAGCTCAAGCAGTACTAGCAGAAATACTAGCGCCTTTGTTAGATGTTAGCTACGGTTCTCAAGAAAAGGAACGCGTAGTAACACTATTAACCAATCTTATGTACAATGTAACACCGTATTTAAAAAATCATTCGTAAGATTTCTTTTTATTGTTTAAAATAACCTTAACATCTATAAGATCAAACATTTTCTTTACTTTACTGATGAATTTAGTGTAAAGGAAGACTATGTTGGTCTTGTCGATGTCAAGAAATTTATTTCATATATCAGTATTAGATTTTCATGGTACTAACTATTGCTAATTGTAAAATTTTTAGGACGAAGAATATCGCTTCCTTCACGGCTTGTTCTCAGCTACTAAGCTCCTTATCTGGTTATCAATATACTAGGAAAGCATGGCGCAAGGATGTATTAGATCTTCTATTAGATTCTGCCTTCTTCCAGATGACGCCAGCGTGCTTACCATATTGGAGGACTATTATAGATAATTTAATGACACATGACAATACAACATTTCGAGATTTAATGAGTATTTATTTTCTAAAGTTATTCAAGTTTTCAGCCCTCTGAAACTTATTAATGCTATAATTTTAATAGTTCGTATAATATAGATTAACATAAGCTTGATTTGTCAAACAATAAAACAAAGGATTCTATTACACGCTAAAACTTAGAAGTTCGTATATAAGTTCACAGGGCTGAAAGAGGTAAACGAATTACATTATCCGAAGAAGATTTTTAATAATATTTTGTTATAGATCGAGTTTCGATGGCTCAGAGTAGTGGTATCAGTATATTCTCCTCGAAAGAGCAGGAATATGAACAGAAGGCACAGCTGTTGAAAAGATTAGCATATGTTATACTTTGCAGTGAAACGGACCAGTATCATAAATATATGCCTGAGATTCAAGGTAACAGATTATTAATGAATCAATAATGATAATAATAAGAAGTAATTCGAATATTCTTGAAGTTAACATTATAAATTAAATCTTGTATATTCTTTTGTAATTAGAACGTTTAGCAGACAGTTTACGGTTACCGCAAGTGATTCCATCTATTCAAGCACAAGTGTTTCTATGTTTCCGGGTGTTGCTTTTAAGAATGTCTCCGCAACACGCCACATCTTTATGGCCGGTAATAGTCAGTGAACTTGTTCAAGTTTTCCTGTACATTGAACAAGAATTAAACGCTGATAGCGAAGAGTTCAGGTACAGTAATGTTCTATATTTTCAGTACAATAATTTCTAATCTTTTGCTTTTGGGAGTTTGGTGCTTTCAATGCATGATCTATTTCAGTGGATTCAATTGAAAAATTGTCAGATACAAAAATTAAATAATTTTATAGATGATATAATTTAGTAAGAGAAAATATAAAATAATTTAATTAAACACTAAACGATTATTCGTTTACTTAGATTGTTAGAGTAATTATATCATCGGTAATAATTTTTAATCAGATATTTTTTAAATGATAATAGTCGCATATTGTTCACTAGCTTTAGCTATTCTTTAACATATCTGTTAACACTTTCTTAGCATATAATGTGCTAGGCACTAATAAAACTGTTTGTATTTACTCCTTACTAACATTAACAATACCTAATGTCATATTGTTTTTGGCTCTGTTTCGGTATCCGCGATTTGGTGGAATTTATGATGCCTCCATAAATTGATTGGTGTTGGGACATCAGTCGTCATGGCAGGTAATTGAATGCTTCTTGCATATTAACGATCATCGAATAAGATATAAATGTCGAAACAAAGTATCTAAGATTTACTTTGGATACAAATCTACATTTTTATTGCAGTGTACACAGTTTAATTATGGAGCAAAGTGTATGATAGTTTAAAAATTCCTAGGTACTTTATTTCAAATTGGAAAGAAATTGAGACATGTTATATTTGTTCAGAACATTTTGTAGCATTCAGGAACAGTAGTTACAACAATTCGAAGGGTTCTGTGTTTGTCGTTTTTTTTTGCTTTTGATGCAATATGTTGCAATTATTTTCTCAAAAAATGAACTATAACCTTTCATTGAAGTGCTATTTTTTAAACCGTACCTTTTGTATTTATATAGTTCACACATAAAACTTCTTTCTGCTTTGGATTCATCGTGGGCTGTGAATGTTAGCAATGGACTTCAGGCACATGGTCATCCACACTGGTTACAGTTGCAGCTTGCAGCTGCTAAATTATTAGATCTAGCATTACTCCTACCTGCACATAAACTTCCTCAATTTCAAATGTAAGTGACAGAATTTTTTTTCTTCTTTCTCATGATTATAAAAATTTCGATAAATATAACATTTTTGTATAGGTATAGGTGGGCATTTGTGGGGGACTCTGCAGCAGGATGTATGGATAACAATAATTTGTCATCTGATTTTGTACCACATATTACAAGAATAGCAAAATTAATGGACAGCAAGGTAGGAAAAAGGATGTTTCAACATTTTTTATTATTTTATTAAAATGAAAATTTAATGCTCTGTTGCGTTGTACAAAGTATTAGCAATGCTGAAAGTGCAGTCAAAATGGTAGACATATTGCTATAATTATTTGTACTTGTTAAATCAAATGGGATAAAATTATATGTCTATACATTTGTTATTTTCTTCTTTTAACTATTATTTCGTAGAATTTTATATGCATTTTAAAAGAAAGATGGGAGGAGACTCACAAATTGCTTGACTCTATTATGTTTGTATTTAACAAAAGTGTAAGACAATTTTTAATAGTTTAGCAAATTTTTTCCTTCTCAATGTAATCTTAGATGTGCAACTGAACTGGGACTCACAGCAGAATTAATAAAGGCACAAAGTTTTTATACATCAATATAATCCTCATCTTTTGGACATTCTTCTGGTAACATACATCTTTTCGTTTTGTCATCAAAGACATATTCTTCTTTGCATTCACAACCGCTTCTGCATGGCGAATAACAGTCTACTACATCTGGTTCAGTACATGTGAACCGACAGACACAATGAGTCCAGATGGATTTATCATCACACTGTTGAGGATTTCTTGCAAACACATGATCAATTTCTTCATAATCATATCCTGGAATTCTGTGTTTAGTGTATCGGTATATTCTATGAGGTTTATACCAGTCTAATTGAACGTCATTCGCCCTATCTTTTTTGGGAATATCATCAATGATTTTATAAGAAAGATCCACATTGTCATGCACGTCAGGGCAAATATCGCATCTGCGGCCACGAGGAACCGCATCCTCAAAATCATTTAACATATAATAGTCATCCTGAACAATGCTCAAATGATCATTCTCGAAATTTCCAACGTAACCGATTGGCATTTCTTCATAAAATTCTAAGTCTTTGTAGTCAGAATCATCTGAATACTCTAAAATATAAAATATAATAATTACACATATATGCAAATACATACAATCTACAATCTACAATATAATAATGACGGTAGGATATATTTTACAAAATTATTGGCAAGATTATGTAAGTAATTTAAAGGAAAATGGTTATTTGGCGCCTGATTTCTGTCGTTTAATTCCTCTTAATTACTGTCAATTAACCCAACTTAAGTCCAGTGAAAGAAGCGTAATTATGATTCTTAGTTACATTTTTATTTTCGTCGTGTTCAATCTTATCTCACAACATATAATAAGTTCGAAAGTTTTTAATTATTACTATTAAATAAGTAATTTATACATTTCATACAAGTTATTAATAAATAAAAACTATAACTTTTAATTATATATTAATATGTTCTTAAAAATAATTAAATAACACAGTCACAAATTATTTAAATATTTAAAACAAATTATTTTATTATATATTTAACACTAACAGAAATTTAGAGTACAAGTCAAATAAATATTTCATGATAACTCTACCTACATATTTTTATGTAATTTAGATATTAAAAATTATTGAATGTAACACTTACGAGCATCTATTGCTACTGTAAGATAAAGGGTGAAACAAGCAATTGCTCTTAGTCCAGTCACTGCCATGGCCACTATCAAACTGACTGACAGTGGACTGTCTATGTTCTTTTACTATTATTACATACAAATGTACTTAATTAGCACTGTGTAACTTCACTTGCACATCTGTCTCTAATTAAACACAATTAAATTTCTTTCAAGTTATATTTAAGTTGGAATTCTATCATGCATATTTGAACTATGGATTATAATATTTTATATTATATTAATTTAATCAAAATTAAAAGGAAACTAGCTTCCTATAGTTTCTATTTTTATCATTCATTTGTTCTTCAAACAGTTCTTTTAACTTATACACTGCTTTTGACGCTTTCACTGATGAAATACTTATTTTGGCAGCATGTGAAATATATATACATAGTTTACTTTTGAAACTATGCCAATAACCCTGTATTCTGAAAGTTCAGTGCTTAAATTATATTTAACATACAATGTAAATTATTCAAAAAGAAAGAAAGAACTATTATAATTGAAAGGGTTGCACATCTGCTTTGACAGGAAAGTCATGTGTTTCATTTATTATTTTTTATTTATGAATAACAGAGTATTAAATGTTTAATTCTGTATCATTACAATTGAGATTTCTCATAAGATGTAACTCTATGACCTTAAATTCAATATTAAGGAAAAAGAAGTCAACTGAAACAATGAATTGTTAAAAGTTTATTTTGTTGCAGTATAAACAAGAGTCAAGCTCTGTAAGCGTAATACCAGGGGAACTTCTTCTAACCTCCAACAATATTCGTTCATTGCAAGATTTGCATTATTTTTTTACGACACTTAGTCGCAGATCGAGTGACACTCAAACACCATTAAATGTCACACAATTGGAGACAGTAATTGAACAAGATTTTCTTGAGAAGATGCCTGCAGCAAGGTAGTAGGAGTATAGTCTCAATGACGCAGACAAAAATTGCCTGCTAGACAGAAAAAGATGAAAGAGGCATCTGAATATCTTTTATTCTTTGATATCTTTTTAATGCACCAATTGAGAGAGCATTAACCGTATGTATGATAAACTGAAAACAATTTTGTTGGAAAACATGACCGTCAGATACTCCTCCACACCCGTACAGTTTCATTGTAAACTTGTACACTGCAAATTAATTAACATAGAACATATGTACTATATAGTGACAATTGAACGAAATATTTGATTTTGATTAGCTAAGCTTCTAACTTGTCTCCTCATTCGGTTGTGAATAGTTATTAAAATATATGATACGCCAGGCCAAGGCCTAGCTGGATTGTATCTCTAGAAAATATCTGTACAGTGTAACATAACGTTTTATTGAAATCGTTATTTTTTCAACTGATTCGAGAGTTATCTGTTTCGTGTTTGTCGTGTGTGTTTCTCTGATGTCGTGGAATTTTAGAGGGACAGTGATGCAGCGATTGTACAAGAAAACGAGAATTTTAATTATTTTCTTCGGATTCACATGTCAATTCCTAAAAAATGCCATACAGCATGTTCAATAAAACCGTATCGAGTCTATTATTATACGTAAGTGAAGTATATTATAATATGTCTATATAAAGCTTTTGTTTTTCATTATCTCTTTTTTTTATAATTTAAATATTAAAATGATGTCCCCATGTGGAGAACGTGGTTTTTAAGAAGTGTAAAGATCGGAAAGAAATTCTCTATTGTAATTGGGAATGTTAATTATTCTATTTGAAAAGTTAATGTTGCATATGAACAAATGTAACAGAAAATGCGTTTATATATCTATCACCTGTGTGAATATTATATTAATATTTAGCTAAAATTTTTTATTACTGTTATTTTTTTCACGAAAGTGTAAACATAATATTTTTATCGTATACATCTGTGATTCGTTAAATTTGTAACCGTTTCGTATTATGCTTATAAATCACTTGTATGCAGTAAATAAAAAGTATATAATCTTCACTCAGGTGATTTATTAGCTTCCATGTAATTAAGAAGAAATCAACTGGAAAGAATGAACTTGCTATGAAATTATTTTTCTATATACAACACTACAGATTCTGAAATGCAAGCATGCAAGTTTATAAACAATTTATAAATCTTATTTATGAAATATTTATCTGCTAGAGTTGCCATTTTGATTTTAATCGTGTATATGTATGTATAAATATATGTGTACATGTATGCATACGTATATGTGTATATGTATATATATATATATATTTATATATATTTGCTATGTAATCGCTGATACATTATTACCGCCTTTTTATGCTGTTTCATGTTCATTAGATGCGAAACAAATTAACTGAACACGTATACATAAATATTAATTGTACACTATACTCGATTCGATGATAACAAATTAAATAAGAAAAGAAAAGTGTATCTATGCAAACAAGTATTATCAGATTTTATAATTAATGCTTGTTATGCGAATATTGCAGCATTTGTTACTTCCTTTTAAGAGGCACTTGTGTACCAATCAGTTATCTAGTATACGCAATGTGAATAATTAATAAAGTAGGATGTTGATATGCATTTGTTATACATACAAAATGTATTTGAAACAACAATTTCTTATTTTAATGTTTCATTGAAAGATCTTTAATTTTCATAATATTTTCAATTGTTAATACAATTCCATTGAGTAACATATACTCTGCAAGAAATATTTGCATTTCTCTTAACATGATGGTCCACTTTTTGAGTCACATTGTGTAATTAAACTGTTTTTAAATATTATTTCTCTTCTGAAATATTTGAAATTGCTTGAAGAAGTCTTCTACTAGATCTTGTTTATAATTTTAAGAAGTTTTAGCAAAAGAATTTGTTAACTTAGTATCTAATGTGATATTTTGATATAAAACGAAAACATTTCTTGCATCAAACTTGTTCCTTTCCGTTTTTTTTTCATAAATAACAGAAGATTCAATAAATTTTCCAATGATCCAAGACTTGTGAAACATGAGATTGTAAAAACTTGGCAAATTGCAGATAAGTGATATGTATACATACATATATTTATGTTGAAATAATGTAAATTTATACAATAAATTAACGTTCAATTAAGTATTACGTACGTGATTCACACATTGTTTTAATTATTAATCCGTTCCATAATTTATACCTTAAATCTTAAAAAGCCAACTGAAGTATTTATTCAGTTTATTGTATACAAATAATAATATGTTTAATAATAAAATAATAATAACATATCATTAATTATCCTGTCACTATAATTAAGATATTAAACTAAAACAAGCATATAATATAATTAATGATCAAAAAGCATTCTTACTAAAATTGAAATTCCAATTCAATTTTCAAGTCATAATTAAAAACCACTTTTATCCTTAACAAAATTATATTATTACTTGCAAGAATTGAAACGCTAGCAACATTTCAAAATTTATTAATACTTATCGTCACAAGGTGTGAAAACATATGTAGATTCAAACTGACCGCTTCTCCCACCTCTATTCGCCCATGATTCTGTTCCTCCGTCGATCAATGATCCTGAGCACGCCATTAATATCGAGCCCGCTGTAAAATCAACAGTTTACTATTTTTTTAAAAACGTGGTTCGTCGCGCTCCTCGGAGCAAGAAATGATGAGTCGCGGTTGTCGCGGTGTGCATAGATAAAAGTTCTCGAGGTGCCACTGAATTGTATGAGGCGGCGATGATGCGCGAGAAAACGACGGGAACGGATTTTCGAGTACTGGGATAGTATCAAAACACACAGGGATCGCGCGAGATATCATCGAAGGCGAGGGGGAAAAATGCGAGCGACAGGACTGGAGACAGTGTCGAAGGTGCATATACGATAGACAACGGTATTAAGCAATATCCATGCACATAAGCGGTTACGCTTACGGGAACCGGTTCTCCTGAATCGTTACACTTGAAAGGCTAGCTCCAAACGGGACGAGACGTCGCAAGGTGAAAGTAGAATGACAAAAGAAAATCGACGTGCCTCCGGATTGAAAATTTCCTGTTGAAGTTAGCAGAAGAACGGATCAAGGCAATCGCGAAGACGATGCACGGACCGCTCGGTCAAGATTTCAGCCAGCGCAACATTCGCTGCGAGTTGCTAACTAACCTCATTCGAGACTGATTCTACACTCATACGTCTGGTGCGATCGCCAAAAAGAAACGCGTATCATCTATCGCTGTACAGTCGTTCTTATCGACGATTAATTGGTCAACGCAAAAAGCACTAAGTTCTACACTAAATACTAAATCATTGTTTACAATGGCTGTGCCCAACAAGTGGGAGAATGTTTGCAGATTGTGCTCAGAGGAGAGGAACGAGATGCTGTCAATTTTCGGTAATGAAGGTGTGCAACGAAAAGTCGCGCAAAAGCTGCGAGCTTGCTTGCCTGTTGTAGTATACAAAACCGATCCACTGCCAAAGCAAATATGTCAGTTCTGTGCTGCCAGGCTAGACGACGTTTACGAGTTTAGAGAGTACTGTCTGAGCGTTTACAAAAGTATGCATGCAAAGTTGTTGTCATACAAGGATGTAGAGTCTGTTCAGATTTACTTAGATGCAATCAAGAACTCACCAGACCCTTGTCAGGTATTTATTCCTCAATTGTTCAATGTGTTGAGTATTATGCGAACCAATTTGTTGTAAGTCACATTGAAAATTGATATCATAGTTCATCTATTTTCTTATTATCCGTTAGGCACATTTATGGAGCGAGAAGGCCAGAGCACCACCACCTTTAGTACCTTTGCCAGCCTCACTGCCAGTTGAGAATCCATCAACGCCCATAGACATTAATCAAGAACATTCGAATACTTGTATTGAGTCTTTACCTGAACTACCCTGTGAAGTAGAAATCAAAGAAGTAAATGCAGATCCAATTTTAGGAACTGATGTTAGTATTTATGAATCACAAAATGTCATCAGTGTAGAGAATAAATTGTGTAAGCCAGATTTAATAGCGGAAGATAATAGAAATTTGTTGAAGGAAGAGAATATCGATTCACGAGAAGAAATACAGGTGAACAAGGAAGAGAAGAGAACAAGTATTTTGGAGCAAGTACTAATGGGTAGTTTAACAATGAACGATAGGAAAGAATTAAATTCAAAAGCAAAGTTATCTTCTAAGTGGTGGTGTGCTCCTTGTAATAGTTATTACAAGTAAGTTAATACTAATTATATGAAATATCGATTGCGACAATTCTATAGGTTTTCTATAGGTTTTACATTTTACAGAACAAAGGAGAGCTTAATGACACACATGCAATTACATTGCCCAAGAAAATATACTTGTAGAAAGTGCACAGCATGTTTTGAATTAGTTGAAGATTTAGCTAAACATGAAGCCACTAGTCATCTAAAAGTGACATTAGATTTTGATAAAAGTCTTAAAGATTGTGATCAATGCGAGAGACAGTTTGTAAGCTGGGAAATGTTGAAACAACATAGGTTACGTGATCATTTAGGGGAAGCAATCGATATTGGGACCAATACGTGGTGCTCATTATGCAATAGGTAGTACTATAGTAAATTCTAACAGGTTACAAATTATAATAAGTTTCAGTTTTTTATATTTAATCGTTCTTAATATTCTCTAGATTTTTCCCGAGCATAGAAGCTTATCAAAATCATACTCAATTACATGAAACTAGTAATTATACACCAGTGAAGGTGTCACAAATTGCAGATCAACAAGTAGTTACAATTATAAAAGCTGAGGAACCTCCAAAAGAAGTGAGGAAAGAGCACTTTGTAGAAGCCACTAAATCACTTACATGTCCTACATGCGGGAAGGTAAAAAAAAATTTGAGAAATTCATAGTAAAGAAGTATCAAATTTAATTAATTTACTTAAAGTTTTGCATTCTATATACAGGTCTGTACTCAACAAAGTGCATTGTCGAATCATATGCGTACTCATGAACCTAAAAGACACAAATGTGATATATGCGGACGATCGTTCGGACTTTTCATACGTTTAGCAGCACATAGAATGAGCGAACACAGTCAACAGCCTACAATGTCCCCTGTCATGGCTAGTGTAGAACAAGAAGAAGCATTGAACGCTGAAAGAGAAGCCAGAGAGGCACGGGAAGCTAGGACTCGAGCAAGAAGCAGAACATACTCAGAGGTACAAATATATTTGTGTATTTCAGCATTACTTAAAAAGAACGTAATATAATATAGAATTTTTCTGAAATGTACTTGTTCAATGTAATAATTTTTAGATGATGGAAAAGAGAAATGTTACAAATCATGATGGACCACCTTCAAAAAGAAGTACCCCTAATTCACTTAAAAACGTAGCCAGATGCGGTATTTGTTTGGAGTGGTTCAGTGACCATACTACAATGTTAACGCATTTACAAACGCACTCGGATAACTATACTTGCAAAAACTTTACTTGTCATATATGTAAAAAGTCCTTCAAGGAGAAGTGGCAGTTATTTAGACACGAGGTATACATTTTTTATTTTCTTATTTTTACTTATGTATTGGTATAGTATAACGATAAAAACTTTTAGATACATTCATGCATTCTTTTTTTAACAATAGATGTCTCATAAACGCAATGAATCCATACCAATGTACGTATGTTCAGTATGTAAAAAATCATTTGTCGATAAGAGTGCATACAAAACGCATCAGAAGACACATATTGTCGACAAAACATATCACTGTTCAAAGTGTAATAAAATATTTTTCAAAGAAGTGACTCTGTTAACGCATCAATGCACGACAGAAGCTTTTTATGGTAAAAAGGGAGTCTCCCCGAAATCGTTGCAAAGATCAACAGCATCATTGGGTACTAGTAAAAGATTCAAATGTACTAAATGTAATGCAACTTTCAGTAGTGCTCAATCGAAGAACTCTCATATGAAAACACATACGGAAGGGTCGCACACAGCGGTAGGTTTTACGAAGTTTCTAAAGTGAATTCAAATTTATATAATATTACTTTTGCATTATAATAATATTCTTTAAAATTCTCGTTTTGTCGGATAGGTACAAAAAGATGAAGTGCAAGTGGAATCAGAGGATGAACCTATGCCAAAATTAAGTCCTGAAACGTCATTGGAATATTCAGTGCCTATTGAACCGAAAGTGGAAATTAATGAAGAGAGTGCGCCGCCTCCTATTAAACGAACACTTATTAGAACAACTGGCGGGTAAGATTTAAAATTAATTTTTTCTTTTTTATTTTGTTTCGGATACATGAAATCAGTCCTCACAAGTTGTTGAGTTATTGAAGTATTAAAATATGTTGTTGTTTTCCTAGATATCGGTGCGGAGTGTGTCAATCTCCATTCGTCCTACGGGAATTAGCCGTTGCACATTTAAGATCTGCGCACCCACTAATGCCGTATCAGTGTCCATATTGTAAAAAGCGATTCACGACTCAGTATACGTTTACGCATCATATTAAAGCAGATCATCCTGACGAACATGAGAATTGAATTGTATGAGTTACTATTAGTTCTAAAATGCCAAACGATTCTTGTATCATAAACTGTACTTCGTGTTGGAAGCAATTTTCATGTTTATGTACAAGATATATACAAGATGATTCTTACGAAGTGACCGATGCAATTAATTTTTAAATTTAAGAACTTACAAAGACGTGATTAACTTTGTTAGTATAAAAAATTGATTCGTTATGTTAATAAATATTAAAACTAATTGCACCATTCACTTTTTTGGAACAATTCAGTATACAGGGTAGACCACTAATTTTGTCTACTTGTAATGTCCCACTAATTTCGTGGTAAACAGCGGCGTAAAATTTACAATGAAATTATTGCCGCTACGTTATGCATGTTTTACTACTATTTATACTGGCAATGATTATATATTAAGTAGACTGATTTAGTGACCAACCCTATACAGCACTTGTCGGTTTCGTGCTGAAGCTGTATCGTTTTCTAATCTGGCATACTAGTTCCTGAACAAATAATTGGCCTTAAATAATGTTTTGTAGTTCTATTTCGAGAAAAGCGAAAAAATATATAAATATATTATATATATATAGTAATTCGTAAATAAATATAGTTTGTGTTGAACGAGATATACTTTTTAAGAAAATTTTAGTATCATTTATTATAGGAGACTGGAATAGGATTAGTACTTATACTGAACGTGCCTGTTTAAGTATCATGTCATGGCGTCACATAAACATTTAGTCAAATCAGTTTATAATTGCCGTTGAGAAATAAATATCATGATAGATACTGTATATCTCGATAGAAAATAGTTTTGTGAAATCATATCTGTTATATTTTTACTTGTTAGTAACATTGCCAGACATTCCTTTTTTTTTAAAGAAATTCAGGAAATTTAAAAAAATACTTATAACTTTTGTTTTATAATACTTGAGTTGTCTTCATGTATAGAAACCTAGAAATTAATCATGAGCAAGTGTATAATTGCGCTGTACATTGTCATTATTATTTTATTTTATATATAGTGTATTTACAATAAAAAATGAATGTCAAGAAGAAACTTTGTACGCTTATTAAATAAATTTTTATCGCGAAATCAAAACGCACTCTTAAAATTGATTTATACAAACTGTTAATCTAACTAATTTAGAAAAAAACTATCTTTTTTTGAGTGATTAATGGAATCATACAAACATTTTAATTGTGCATTAAGGTATGCACAATCTATGCCACAGACGAGATATGGGATACACATTCAAAGTAAAATTTTGTCCACGCTCTCAGGGGTACTAAGACCCCCTTACCATTTTCGTATCATGCCCTGTCATATTGACTTAGACTGGTTTTGCATGGCAACGCTCTACGTGGTAGGAATTAGAATAAAAAATTATTGAAAGACGCGTACCTACATATCTTAACCGTTTACCATATTTACTAAGTGGTCAACTTGGATCATTTTGCTTGATGTAATTTTCTTATTACTTCGTCTATGACTGCATGCAATGTATTTTTCCGTCTATTGTTCTAAAATACCGACACCGTTAAACTGCTGCGATACATTAGCTGATTCTATTTAATGGCGGCGTGGAAACTAGGAAACAGTAGAAAATGTTTCTCATAGATGGCGTCATAAGTATCTGTTGAACAAGTATTGTGTTGAAAATGAGAAATTGTGGTTTATAATAATGAGTTAATTCCTATTATTTTATGAGAGAAATAATAAATAAATTCATTAACAAATGGTAGCACTAAATATATTTCTCACACTTCAATTTGCAATGAGTAATGCAATAAAGTAATCACTCGTTTTACTCGTACGTCTGACCATATCGAACATTTACTACTGAATGCGAGCTGGCTATGACCGACTATTACCACTGGCACTTCTAAAATTTGTAGTCGTAATATGTCTCATCTTCATGCATCGCACATCTCAAATGCAAATGCAGCTTTTGGTACACATCCATTCGAATCTGCGCAGAAAATTACAGTCACTAGTATCGGCAATCGTTGAAGCTATTACATAATTTTCAACTTTATCTCCTACGAAAAGAACGGAGACCCAACAATGCACTGAACCAATTCCAAAGGGAATAAAAATGGTAACTAAAATTTTTCAAAATATTCTCGAAATTTCTGTAGCTAAAAAAAAACGAAACTTTTGAAAATTAAAAAGTGCAAAACAGATTCGAGTCTGACATGTCTTACGATAGTTGTACGCGATCGAAATGTCGGTTTTGGAATCAGCAGCGTGCCAGTCAAAAAAAGAAAAAGTTATCAATGTTTTCAAGTACGTGGCGATTGAAATGGCCTGGGAGTAAAAGAGCAACAACAGCGAAAATCAGGATACCTTGATAACGAAAATTGGCTCTGTAGCCGTGGCGGGGGTACGGTGGTGAACGGCGGGCGGGCGCAAAGCGCATGGAAAAACCAGAGGGGGCAGATCTGCCGCATAGCCAACGGAAACTCGTCGGGTGCTCGTCAGACGCGACGCGTCCGTGATCACGCACGGTCCACCACGCGAGAAAGAGGAAGGTCCCGTTGCGTTCGTTCAGTCATTTCGGACGTGGGAAACGGGGAAGACTTACTCTACCTCTCTGATCGTCGACCGAGCACTGCCATCGAGAAAAATATCCATTCATCTTCGTCGATAATCTGTACGAAAGCTTCGATACTCGTGGGTCCGTGACACGGGAACTGACCGACCGATCGGGGCCCGCTGATTGCGTGCGAGCTTTCCATGCAGCGAGGGTGGAGGCAACACGTCCGAAGTGACTGACTGCAACGTGATTACCTGAAACACATGGTCCGGTAATTGTGATCATGATTGGAAACCGTCTTGCGCCGATCGTCACCCTTATCCTTGTGGTCTTGCTGTCGTCTGTCCATCACGGTGAGTGGAGAACTAGAATATCCATTTCAATCGTGTATCTTAACTCGAATGATGCTCTTATTGTATAATTCAAAATTTCATTTAGAGCTGTAGACATGTAATATGTACGTATATGTACTTGAACGTACATTAGGATGCTCAATAAAATTTGTATGATCTCGTATGAAAATTGTATAGCTTAGTGAGTAAACGTATGTCAAGACACGATATGGAGATCTAGAAAACGACTGTTGGACCCAAAAGTGTATCTACCGTTAGATTTTCGTAGTCTAAAAGCTTAATACGCGGCATTGCAAAATTTCTTGTCTTTGTAAATCACCGATCGTATCATCCTAATAAAATAGTGATTCGCGGGACGAAATGTCTTGTCCTACTTTAGCGACCCAGTTTCCGATCTACGCTGAATTACGATCGATCTACGGGTTTCTTCACGCTACAATCCCCGTCGCGATTTTTATAACCCTAGGGCGCATGCGAATAAGTCGGAAATGAGAATCTGTATCACATTCAACTTTGAATGTCGAATACCGAATTCTCATCGAATAAGTACAAACGCGGATTACATGCAAATCGGCGGTTAGCCGGAGAAACGTTCTTCCGTTGTTCTCATGGAAATGTACTTACCCTTTTACATGGAAAACAGACCAAAGAGCTTTCCGATAACGTGCCCGCGACGTTTCGTAACATTCGAGCGAAATGACCCAATCAAGCGAAAAGTGTAGTCGTCGATCGAGGCAAAGCCAAGGGAAAAACGGTCGTTATCGGAGAACAATCGAACAGGACAATTGACTTTTCGAAAGAGCCGCGCGCGTTGCAGCGCAATGCGGTAGTGACGAGAAAACCAAGCGTATCTATAGAACGACAGGGAACGTGATCCGATGCTCCGTCGCTTTTCCACGCGTTCGTGAATGTCCCAAACGTCGTCCACTGAAAAATCGGTTGGGATTTCTTTCATGAACCAGAAGTCGCGAGATAATGTCGAAACGGAGACGATATTGATTTTAGGTTACATAAAAGGTACGCGATTGGACCCTGCGTGGCTCGAGTACTTAGTCTCCTTCCGGTTTCAAATCACCTCCGCTTTATCTTATCATAAACGGATATGACAAAAATAAAACAAGATAAGTTAATGGCTATATATTTTGAAATTTAACCGTTTTCTGGAAACGTTTACAAAGAATGTAAAGAAAGAGACTATCAAGATTGCTTAAATAACATATGAATTAAATATAAATATTCCTGATTAGATAATTACGATGATGGTAATAGATGATTATAACGAATAAAAATGGAGGTACTTTAAATTAAATTAATTCAAATTTAAGTATATTTAATTCATAGAATTATTTCGATAGAAATGATACTTTAAAGTACCTTAGGGATATATAGCGTTAACCGAACCTAATTCGTTTTTGCGCGCTAATCCCGGTTGGCTGTTTTTTAATCTCTAAAACTTAACCGACGACGAGCAATCAATAATTCCGTTCGATGGCGACTTGGATAACAACGGAATGATAGGGAACGAGGGCAATTAGCCTCGGGACTGGACGCTGCATTGGATCCTGTCCCGTGGAGGATTACTGTGTTCCAGATGCTAGTCGGCGAACTCGTACGACGTTAGCACTTGTGGTACTTCCCCAATGCTTGCATGGAACCGGGTGTACTTAATTTCTAAATTGAATCTCATTAGAAAAGTAAATCGCACAGAAAGGAAACGGGTCGACGGAAGTTGTTGGCCAATGTTCTGTCACGCGAAAAAACTGACGGTATTTGGGGCTGTTTCGTACAAAGCTCTCTGTCTCTATCTTCCAAAGAGAATTCCTCGAGCGATGCTCCCATATTTACGTAACCTTTTGTACAGCAATAAGGCGCGAAGCGTACTGATGCTAACGGTACTGTGTGCGGACGAAAAAAAACAGCAAAAAATACATCGTCGAGAAAAGCCTGGAGAGATCTTAAAGCCGCTCCAGAAGAGAGCTTTCGTAAGCAGATCCGTTACTACCTACTCGACATTCCCATTTAGAAATCTTGATTCTATATTCAAATGAAAAACAGTCGATGAGAGTTTGAAAATAAAAATTATACAGCAACTACCTTGGAACAGTAGCGACTGTTTCAAACGAACATCGAAATCGATCGATCGTCGAATCAATTCACTGGAATCGAATAGAGAATACTATATTTCCGAGACACTTTTTATAATCCTATAGCGAAATGATATTAAAACATATAGAGTAAAGATTAGCAAAACCATACTTTTGAAAAGTGAAGCTACAAAAATTTATTCTTAAAATGAATCTCTTGTCGCAGCTTAAAGCACCGTGGCAATACGAAATGGTACAATATTATCGAGATTCCATAAAGACTGTATTCCTTTATCTCGAATTCTTTCAAAGTGATTACAATCGTCGCGTTAAAACAAGCAACGGGGAGGTTATGAAACAATGGGGAACATTCTTATCTACCGTTCAATTAGACAAGAGCATCCGTCAATCTCCCACAGATCAAGGAACCAAAACGTAGCAAATACGAAAGTGATGTAAGCGATGCGTGCAGTGGCAATCGTTAACGAGTGACTTTAAAGGATCAATTCGACTAAGCAAAATGACCCACGTTCGCGTTTCACGTACGTCGTAGCACGAAGTGGAGAATAAAGCATTGAGGGACCTTTTCGCGAACAAGAAGCTGGCCATTTTAATAGGATTGATCGGGATCAGTCGGCGCAGTTTGTTGAAATTTAGAATTTTTGGTTCGTAGAACCTGGCCCCCGCGAGGGTTATCGAGCGACCCACTTTCTCCCCTCCCTCCCGTTACATTCTCTCGTACTCTCCTTCACCGAATTCTATTCTCCCTGCACCGCGTGGTACCGTGACCAAGGGGACGTTTCTCGTGTTAACCTTGCCTTATCGACGAATTTTTAATAAAATCTGCGTCGCTGCTCTGCACTCCACCAACCTCTCCAACTTCCCGCCATTTATTTAAATTTCTTTAAGCCACATTTCGCATGAAAAAAATAAATAAAATAATCTATTTACTCTAATGGCAAGCGTTTTCAAGCAATCCACGTTTTCCGCCTTCACAAAATACATCTTTTTCAGGATTCTAGAAATGTCTACTGAAACTTGTTTCTAAGGAATCGAGCACAGCGATTTTTTTATAAAAACCGCGCACATCATTCGGACCAAATTTCATAGAAGTTTTGCAATTAAATTGTATTCTTTTGGATTGACCGGTTCCTTTATAATACAAAGATCGCAAAATATTTCAAGCCACATACCATATACCACAGTACCGTTTGTCAAATTAAACAGCATCCAACTTCATCGAACTTCGTTACAAGTTGGTGAATTAGGTACGAGGCTGAAGTACATTGTTTCCTGCAACCTCAAAGCGACACTGTTGAATCGTGTATGGCCCCTGAGCCACAATTCTACTAAGAACAATGAGTTTGCGTTCAAGCGAAAACAACATGAGGGGCTGTAAATATTTTATTTCTCGGTTAAATTCGGTTTGTAAATATTTTATAATCGTCGTTTTGGAGTGTAAAACGTTTGAATCGTGAAACAAGCCCCGAGAAGTACGTAATATTTGGTCGGTGATCCATCTATGACAAGAACGCGGGCAAATGCATTGGAAAACGCTTCTCGCCGATGGCACCTATCATTGTCGAGAACACCGGAAGCTTTATTCGGTAGAAAAGGAAATCTCGATGGATGTCCCCGTCGTTGAGCAACAATAAAAGTACGGACGCCACCAGTATCCATTTCCTTTTCACACTGTAGCCCATGAAGTATTCACTCGTAGAGACTTTAACTTCAGAATTTGATTAATCTTGTAATAAACGACAGTCCAAATTATTTTCTCTAAAAACATCATCTACACTTGTACCGAAAATATACGAACCTTGTTTTTTATTTTACACCATTTTAACAATCTGTCCTGTCAACCCTGCGCCCACAGCTAACCGAAAAGTTAGCAGCCCGGAAATACCTTTAACATCAAATATCTTCGAAGCATGAAGCGGCGGCCTAATAATGTTAACCGCCAGATTGGTCACTGGGGATCCACTTAAATGTCGATGGTTTTCAGAAATCCAGGAATATCCTGTGCTATTTAAAATCTTTGTTAGGCTCTAACACGATATCACCATTTACTTGTACTCGGGTACTTCTTTTCCATATAATACTCTATGGAAGCTTATTTTCAATGAATCCAATACGAATTCAGTGATCTTTCATCGTTAACTATCATTGTGTCTTATGTAGTACAGGAAGACCTCAGGAATAATCTTTCTCCCTAAACTTACAACAATCCAGTAGTTCCCTATATCCGACAATCAACTATGATAGAAGCAGAGCAGTAATCAGCGATAATGGAGTCTGGAGTTAGGTTTTCCAACTTCGAAGGGTATGTTAGACAGTGCTGGGCTAAGGGTCAACTCATTAACGCCGAAATTAATTACCGTTAACTACGTGTACCTATTTTTTCGCGTGTACTTAGGTGCAGGCACTTTGAAAAACGGAAAGGTCGTCGAAATGGGGCGTGAGGTGTTGAGAGGTCGAAATTTAATTTCTCGAGCGAAATTAGGGGATGAAGGGGGTCATGGGATCGCGGTGGAATGGTCTTCGAGGACGTTCCCCTTATCGGTGGCGTATCCGTGTCAACGAGAACGAACGAGCTTGGCCCGGTCCCTTCGTTGCCCGGTTCTCCGTCGATTACATAAGGATCCGCAATGTCACGCAGCCCTCGCCTCGGTTCCTCACGCGACTCCTCCTGTGCCGCCGTCTGCCGCGGCATAGCTGGTTCGTCCTATTTACCGCTGATTGAACGTCTCGCGCCGCGCCGGTTACCAGACGTCATTGAGAACTGCCTTCGACAACGGTACGCTCGTCCTGATCAATGTTTTCGTACCACCGTTCGTCGAAACACCGGTACAAAGGCGCATCAGCTGACCAGCCGGCCAGCCGCTTCGATCCGTCCTCTTTAACGCTAGGACTACCAATCACTTAACCCTTTCACTGTACTAACAGATTAATTACTATTCTAAATATGTCATAAACCGATAAAAGATTAGAAGTTCATACTTTTAATATTTTATGTCTTTTTCATTGATACATATGACTGCGTGTCATATAAATTACATTATTTTTCTTCCAAATTTAAATATAAATTTAATAAAATATACCGATTCGTATGTATCCGAATGTCGCAGTAAAAGGGTTATACTAACTTTTTCAAATTTTTTTATAAAAACTATAAATGTGTTTTTATCAAGACTTCTATTGCCTTATATGTCAGTTTCGGTACTGATCAGCTTCTTTAATCATTTCTTAAAGGAGTGTCGTTACCTTTTCAGTTACTATAGAAGAAGACATCAGGGTCATTGTGACTCATGTAGTAGTTCTAATGTTAACGCCCATCGTCTTGATAAGTGTTCATGCTTCCTTGACTGGGTCGCACGGATCATCGTGTCATAGACGTTTCATAACTGCTACTGGTTTCATAGGCTCCGATCAATGAATCTGTTGATAAATAATTGAAACGAAGGATTCGGTGGTTAAACTACCTGGTGAACAAAAATTGGCCTCGCGCAATACGAATGACGTTAGTTGTTACGTAACAATAGTAGGCGACCTTAAAGCATCATTCTCTGCATTTCAGGATTGTTTTTAACCTACTTAATCTATCGGCGCCTAAATTGTCCATAATTGTTCACTGTGAAAGTGTGAATTTACGTGAAAATTGGCGGTTTAGTTCCGACTGAATGATGGTGTCAGAAAAATAGAACATCGAGGATGAATTGCAGTCGATGTACCGTGAATAATGTTTCTCGATCCATATGAATGATTCATCAGCAATGACGAATTGATTATGGCGTTCGTTATTTCCTGCGTTTGTTTCGCAGCCAGTTGTCCCTGCGTGAATGATTAACGTTGCGGAAGCTACGGGAACGGAGGGGCGGCTGTCGGAACGCCCTGCAGAACTTGTCCAAGGTCAGGGTGTCGAGCCGTCCACCCCCACTATATTTTCGTGCGCGCTCCGCTTTCAGCGAATCCAAGGAAGGGAAGCCAGTAAAGGAACCCTGAGTCGATACAATTTACGCTCCGCATTCTGCTGGGAAACCAAACATTCGACTACCCGCATCAAAACACGTATTATATCTTGTTAAACAGCTTCTCTTTCACTACTGCAAATAACGTTACTAACGTGTTATTTATAATTTATAAAGTACTTATATTTTAACTTCTCCACAGCACTTATACTTGTCTTCAAATCAAATTTTGAGCTATGGTTACCCTATACGTATTCGTTTTCTTGTTATTAATACAACTGACAATTTAAGTTACTCTTATTATTGTTAAACTGGAAATCTTCGTGGAATTTTTAATCGCCAACAGAAACATTCAAACTCTCTGTTGAACATCAAACGCTTATTCTACTTACGAGCAGTTTCTGCGTGTTCAGGACATCAAACTTAATCTCTTTACGCGTCTAATACAATTAGTTTTAATCCATCTAGGGTTTGAAGGCTTTCCCCGGCGGTATAAAGTAACAGAACAAACCATTTGCATATTTTACCGATCGACAATTTATAAGTGTTAGAAAATCAATGGTGCCGGAGCCATTTTTGGAGAATTAAAAAATCAATGATGTCGAAGCTGAACTTTCGAAGAGTTGTCGTGGTGCTTACGTAATCAGTGGTACCGGGGATAGAGGTGGCGGGTCTCCTAAAACATTTCACGGGAGCCGTGCAGGTCCGTTTGCAATGAAATATCGGCAAACAGTTGCACGGCAAATATTGGCGGACAATTTGCAGACGCGTTTTGGAAAATGCACGCGTCGCAAGGCACCGCGCCGCGTTGCTCACCTATATATGCGCAGCTCTATTTTACCGTGAATGTATCAGTAGGTCATCGCGCGCATTGGTCGGGGTCTTCCTGCTCGATATCAGCTGGTGCCGTAACCAAACCCGCTGGGAGGGTTGAATGGGGTTGCGTCGTGACGCCACAACGCGGCAGGGCCGTAGCCAATCACCGGCACCCCGGCAGACGGACCGTGAAACGAACTCACCGATAATTGAATCAACCGAATGTTCGCTTAAAAAAGATTGAATTTTCACCATTCGTCGAATGAACTCACATTCCTCGACCGTCAATTTACGTTAATTTATAGTTATTTTTTAAAAAAGATTTTTTAGATAATATTAAATATAAAAAACATTTATTAGAATACATTTAATATTTTCCCTTTAACATTTTTTTGTGGTTAACAAGAAGAACACGACAATGTTCGATAATTAATGAAAATGTTAATTTATTAAATAAAATAGACATTTTAAGATATTATTGCTTTCGTTGTTGATCAATGATCTTCCCTTTTATTTCTTTTTTGTGCAAGATAATATTGGATCGGGTCCTCTCTTTTGCTGAAGATTTTGATAGGATTTCTAATAATGTACATTGCCTGGGGATAATTCATTAACTTAAAGCATGTATTTTGAAAATAAATTAATAACGTGGAATATTCGTCTGCTTGGAGCATCGTTGTTGGGGTGTTCGAGTTTAAAAGTTCATCGGGTGCACGTGCACTTGAGCCACACTCGACTCGCGTATCTATACGTTTCTACTTGTGATAATTTAACAACGGTCCATTAATGCTTATTCTTTGATAAGTCATACGGACTATTGAACTGACGCGCAACGGATCCTGTACAAATATTTAAATCGAATTTACTAGGTAATGTAACGAACAAATTCCGTATTTCACGATTTTTCAAATTTTAAGATGAAAATAATTTTGATCCGGATTCGATGGACGATTCAATTTTCTTTTTCGTAATCCACTGAAACTCGATTAACTGTCCGGGGGATAATAATGATAACGAAATTTCACGATGAAACTATCAGTCGCCCCGGACCATCTCCTATCCGCGTGTATATCAAAACTAATAACCAACAGCAACAGACTAATTGCACACGTAGTTAGCAACAAGCACGTGCATATTAGTGGCCCACTTTTCAGAGAATTGCAGCACGCGACAAGGGTAGTACACAAGGAGCTACGGTTTATAACGTGGATCCGGCGGTTCCTCGAAGTCCTGACCTAACCTATCCTAATCAATAGAGTAGCCCGGCGTTTCGTGATATGTCGCTATAAGATGGTTCCTGTTTCTTTCAAGTTCCTTCCTCCTTCGCGAAGCCTACTTTCTCTCCTATTGTTTTCGTTGATATTTATCCAGGCTGAAATGCATACACTGCTGCTAACAAATCTACAACACTTTGGCAAGGTTCAGACAATGGCGGATTTGCAACATGGTTAAGTGACAGCTTAGATTGAGCCCGTGAAGACGGATTACGGTTATGTTAGAGTTTAGGCTGGAATTGTAGCGTCAGGTTAGGATTAGATCGTGTGTCAAGTCTGGCACACTTAATACAAGGCCGCCTTATCTATTAAGCACTTTAGAACCTATGAAAACAAAATTAAAAATTTGGCAAAGACTAGAAGACGAATAAAATTCTCACGATTTAGATATTTTAGGTTCCCATCCAGTTGTAGATCGTATTAAAAAAAGAAGACACAAACGAAGAACACCTAGCATTCATGAATACCTTAATAGGGGTACCTCAGGGACCTACCTGAGTCATTATCTTACATGCAAATAACAAGATCATGATCATGATCTTAGTACTTGGTCTTTATATTATCGTTAAGTACAGTTTATATCGAAATTAAGCTGTCAGTTAAGTATAGGTTATATCATAAGTTCCGTACATTCCTCGTAAGGTTAATGTGGCGTAAGATACACGTTTCATTGAATATACAGACCTATGAGGCGTGAACTCTCCATTAGAAACATTCGCATCCATTGATTTAATGAATAGTTTTTCGAAGATTGCAATAATTGACGTGAAGTTGTTTTCCAGGTGAAGCAATAGTATGTTATCAATGCAACAGCGAATACGATCCAAGATGTGGCGATCCATTCGATCCGTACACTCTTGGGAGCGTGAACTGCAGTATCCAACCACGGCTGGAGCATATGAAGCACATGGAACCCTCTATTTGCAGGAAGATCAGTCAAAAAGGTACTTAACGCAGTTTACTTAAAATCATCTTACATTATATTTAAACAAATATCTGATTTGCAAATATCCTTGAAACGAGACGACATGTCTAACATAATTCATATCTTATATACGTAGCTAATAACGCAAAATGTTGTAATGTATTATGCATTACAAAGCAAAGCGTTGTAATGTATTATGCACTTGTCTAATTCATAATTATGTCAAAATCACATGAAATAATGCTATTACATTAAAAAAATGTTAATGTTCAAGTTAAAAATATTGTTTATTGTGATGAAAAAAGAATGGTACAGAACAGTGAAAGTTTCTCCTCTGTCTGCACTTTCATAACATCAATAATTCAAAGATTAATCCTGGGATAGCCAGCTGTCTCAGTTGTCTGCATTGCGGTATCCTCGTAGCCCTAAAAACTCTGACCACCCCAAACGCCAAGATAGGAAAAAGTATACATGTAACAGTGCCCTTTAACCTCCCGACAATATTAACCGGAATACACGGTGCCGCGCGTAATTTCCTCAAACTGTGCTTGCATAATTCCCGTCGCAATCTCCACCTCCTATCCGTTGGGATAGGTCTTTGAGGAATTTGCGCAGGTGGTCTTTAACAACCGCATCCGCTCCGAGGATCGCCACAGCCGCGTTCAATTGAAGTGTTACAAGGAAACTCGCTCAACCAAAAAATTACTAATCTTGATAAATCTTCGCATGCATAGAAAGTATGATATACTTATACTATGCAAGTCCTTGTTGGCAGAAAATCATTTTTAAGATTTGAAATCAATAGATATTTGTTTGAATATAGTTTGATAACTATACAAAATAATTATTTTAATACATTTCTGACTTGTTCACTGACATTTAATCGTGGTTCTACATTTTCATAATATTATATGGGACGTCATAATAGTTGCAAATAATAACTTTAGAAAATAATTATAAAAATGCCTAATCGCTTAAAAAATGCTCGTGATTACTATCACTTGTCACAGTGTAACTACGCCATCTATACAAAAAGTGCAGGACTTCTAACAAGTTGAAAGTAACTTGTGCTGCAAACTCATTATTACCTTTTTCTAATTAAGTAATTTAATTCGTCTGTTAAATGAAAATATTTAATGTTTGGTAATTTGCTTTTTAACTTAAACTTGTACAGTCTTCAATATCGGCAAAACCAAAATGTTAAGCATGACGGTCTTAGCACAAGAATAAGCAGTCCCAAATTTTTTAGGAAGGGTATGTGTATACTTTGTCTACATAATGAATCTAATTATTGTGTGTTTTCAGTGTACGGCAAGATCAGGGTAGTCAGAGGATGCGGATACATCACGGACGAGAGGGACAATGCTGCTTGCATGAAGAGATCGGGTACCCACGACGTTCAGGCGCATTATTGCTCATGCACCGGTGATCTTTGCAACTCGGCAGAAAGCCGTACGCCGTCCTTCTTACTGCCGTTGACGTCTCTGTTCACGGTTGTCCTGGCATTGCCGAGTCTGCTACTTGCGTACCCGCTCGCGATACCCACCTTAACTTCGCCGTACTTCTCCATAGCCTAAAATGATCCTTGGCCACTAGCGGACAAAATACACGACGCCTAAACCGAATCAACGATTCAATAGCGACCGTTCAGATCCAGGCCAACTCGTTCCCCTCCGATTTCTGTTCCTTCGAATTGACGCTCGTCGCCCGGGAATCGACGAATCAAACGCGGAGAATTTTAGTTTCGTCGTACCGGGAAAAGGAATTCTTTTGTTCTTATTCGACCCGTACCGATTGTCGGTAAAACAGGGGAGATACAAGATCGTCAACTAGTTGGCTACAATTACGGTCACCATTGTCGCTCTTATTTTTCTAAAAGAGACGCTTTCAATTGCGAAGGAGAAAAAGGGAATGTGAGAAAGAGAGCGAAAGAGCACAATATAACGAACACACTAGATCCGGGACTCGAACGATTCACAAAAAAGAAGAAAAAATGAAGAAACAAGGAATACTTATAGTT